TCGTTTGGCATATGTGAACAGGGCAATTGCGCTCTGTTCCGCGCCAAAGTAATCGCTCCTAGATCGCTTGAATGAGGTGGTCTCTGCTCGATTGAAACGAAACCTGGAGCGGTTCGATTGCAGTGAGAAAGCGATCCGATCCAAGCGCGGTTATATCACAGTGTTTTATGGATGTGTAGGAGGCTTACGGCTTCATGAAGAGAGAATAGTAGGGCGGGAAGTTTCGCGAGTCTCCGGATGCCCGCAAACGAGTGATGATCTCCCGGTAATCTCGCGTCTCCTTCCCGGTCCTCAAATAAGCATCGTCACGCACCCTTCTCACCCCTCCCCACCGCGTCTCTCCTCAGACATGTCGCTCACGCGCACCCTGTCAATCACCACCAAACCACCACCTCTCCTGACAGCTTAGCGGGACGCTGCAAAATAAAGAGACACTGCTTGCTGCAGAGCCATTTGAGCAGAGCTGAGCTCCAGCGAGGGGGAGCATGAGCTCTCGCTCCTCCTCCTATAAGCTGTTTTAAGGCGCATACCACCCCTAACCCTAACCCCAGTGACATCACTCGTAGAAGAAGTGCAAGAAAGGAGGAACGAGAGCTCAAGCTCCCCCTAGCTGGAGCTCAGCTCTGCCTAAATGGCTCTGCAGTGAGCACCACTTGAAAATAAACCCTGACACTCTGACCAGTGTAAGGAGAGTTTACTCGCACATGACTTGTTTTAGCTCTTTTGGTCCAATTAGAAACTTTGCAGTGTGAAAGCGAACCGCTCCAAGAGCAAAGAGCAACAATGTAACATTTGTAATCTTTGTTTCGGAACAACAGAAAGGTGTGAAAGCACCCTTAGACTTATTTACTTTCATTTCAACCAATTAAATGCATACTTGCCTTGCTGGAAAAAAAAAAAATCAAAATAAAAATTAAATGACCCTAAAGTTATAAATAGATGTCTATCAATGACCTATACATTTTTATACACTTTCAGCGTATTTTTACCCTGTTTACCACAGTTGGTTTTATCTTATTTTGTCCTATCCTGTCATACCCCAAAACATGCTATCCCCACCCAGTAAAGTAGAATAAACGCACATAACAGACGTGCTTTTATCCAGCACGTTTAAGTTGTTTAGATGTAGATTAACAAATACAATTTATTTATACATTTCAATACTATTTTATAGATTTAATATGAGTAATTGATAGCTGATTTGACCCATCTGAATCCACAAATTGATAGAATCATATAACTGGTCTCATTTAATCCTCAATAGCCATAACTGACTATATAATACACACATGTCTGGCTTTCTGCAAACACATGATCTCTTTATCTCTCTGTGAATCTCATGGATTTTGTGCTCATTACTCAGCGCTGGTGTTCTGCAGGTCACTTTAAAGAGGCAGTGTCTCTAGACAGTTACAGTCAATGGTTCTTGATGGCTGTTCAATTACACCCCTCTGGGTTAAAGTGACTCTTGTTGTTCTGAATATATCTCTAAAGTAACCACTTTTCATCTGCTTCTGAGTCATAAACTTAAAGATGAGTTGCTTTGGGTGAGTACTTTCCATTCAACTTTAATGTCATGCATTGATCTATCTATGTGGAACTTGTCAGTTTAGAGGTTTGCAGGTTTTTGACGCAAACGTGATTATATTATTAGTTAATTCATCACCAAAATGCTTATTTGTTTCTGGCAATGTATTAAACCTTTGTCTGATATTTTAAATGGTGATTTAAAAGTTTTTTTTGTGCATTTAGAAGAGATCTGGCATGTTGTAACTGGTTCACAGTAATGTTTCGGAGATATTTTGCTGATTAATTCACTAATTTCTTTTTATTTTTTATTTTAATCACCTCACAAACAATTCTTAGATTACAGCAACAGAATTAATAACTCCAATTTTGCAACGCTGCAGTCAAGTACTGTAATAAAAATGTCAAAAATAGCCACATGTTAACATTTGCTCTAATTATAGGTTATCTTTTCTTAATAACAATCCTATTTGGCTATAAAGTAGAGAAACTGTGGTACTGTCTGAACTGCTCATATGAGTTCTACATTACAAATGCAAATTTAATCTGGCAATAGAACTATCCACATTTTCCTGAAAGCATAATTAATGTTAATACATTCTGGTGTATGCTGTCATTTTAAATTCTTGCACTACTGCTTAAGTGTTAAGGTTTGTCGTGGCACTTAATGTTTTATTTTATTCTCGTCTGCTGTCTGAAATGGCATGCATTAAATTATCACCGGCCACTCGTTTAAGTCACTGTGTCTCTGTAATAATGTGAACCTCAGGCTACTCGGCTATCTACAATTGTCTAATGGTGTGTTTCTGTCAGTACTGTTGGCCAGATGTTGAGTGGAATACTTTCTTGAAATGACATAATTTTAAATCATATGTTCAGGTAAATCGTTATGATTGCATAGTGTCTTTTGTGCAGATGGTCTTTGTCTATTTAAATGAGACATAATTGTAAAAAATGTTTGAGTAAAATTTATGCATTACTTGAAAGCTGCATAAAAAAAGCTTTGCATTGATGTATGGTTTGTTAGAAAAGAACAATATTATGCTGAGATTCAACTATTTGAAAATCTGGAATCTACAAAAAATCGAAATACTGAAATCATCTTTAAATTTGTCTAAATGCAGTGCTTAACAATGCAGATTACAAAATTTTGGATATGAAGATGCAAAAACCTCTAAATGCCATCTGAAATTTCTTTCAAAAACAGACATTTTTCTCAGCCTCCTTTTTTATGTTTGGTTTTTACCCTTTACAGCTAATGGAAATACCCTTTTCCTCAACATACATGTGAAATTACTGAACCTACACACAAGAGTCTGAGAAAAATGCTAATTTTAGAAGAAAGTTTTAGATAGGTTATAGGTTTTTGCATCTGAACTCTTCATATATTTACAGTGGGACATTTTTTGTATAAAATGTGATTAAAAATTAAATCTCAAATGTAAAATAAAATGATTTTTTTAGTATTTTTTTCTTTTTCACATTTAAATAAAATATTTTTAGTAGAAAATTGATGAAATATCTAATGTTAATGATTTTTGGCACAGAAATCTTTAATAGATTTATAAAGATAATTTGGAGTTATACAAAGTTTTTTGGTTATGCTGCCAAATATATACCAATTTGTTTTGTCATCTTGGGTCAGTCACAAATGTGAACAGAAGTGCATATGTGTGTTAGTTAAGGCGGAATTGCTAATCAAAAAAGAACATTTAATTTATTCACCCTCTGTTCATCCAAGATGTAATGACTTTTTTTTTTTATTCTGTAGAAGTTATGGTTCTTGGTCATTCATGAATTTAAGTCAAAGTCTACTGGCACTTTGGAAGTCAAAAAAAGGGACATATATAGGCAAAACACAATAAATACCTGTGACTGTTGAGGATGAAATGATCAGTCTGGAACATTATTTGCAGTTTAATTACCTCAAATATACAGCCAAAACATTGGGCAGCATGGTGGCTCAGTCGTTGGCACTGTTGCCTCACAGCAAGAGGTTGCTGCTTCGGGCCCGGCTGAATCAGTTGGCATTTCTTTGTGGAGTTTGCATGTTCTCCCCGTGTTGCAGTGGGTTTCCTCTGGGTGCTTCGGTTTCCCCCACAGTCCAAAGACATGCGCTATAGATGAATTGCATGAACTAAATTGCCCATAGTGTTTGGGTGTTTCCCAGTACTGGGTTGCAGCTGGAAGGGCAGCCGCTGCGTAAAACATGCTAGATAAGTTGGCAGTTCATTCCTCTGTGGTGACCACTGATAAATAAGGGACAAAGCCGAAGAAAACTGAATGAATGTATATATTCTAAACAATCTTGTGTGCAATGTTATTTGGACCCCATTGATATTTGTTGTAAGAAACATTTTAAACAACATTTGGGTAAAATTATATTTTGTGTTGGTGAAATGAGAAATTAAGTAAACTATCGCTTTAAAGAGCAATTTTTGCAAAGATCAACTATGTTTGCTATATGAAAAAGAAATTAATTAGATTTAGTTTGTGTTCGTAATTCATTAGCCTTGTTAAATGAATAGAGTCTGGCTGTGGCAATTAGAGACCTACAAATATCGGGAGAATTTATGCCACAGATCATGACTCAGAAAATGAATGTGCCTTTCATTTGCTCAACACATGAAATTATTTTAAATGCTAATGTCGGCACATCACCTTGACAGAACAAAGCAGACAGAACTGTGCTGACGTTACACTTGTCGAGGTTACTAAGGTTACATTTGCTGAGCTTTTTCAATTGGGGTCTTTTTCTGTTTCCCTGGTGGGCGGCATAACAAGCTTTTCCATATCCGCCAGTGTTGCATAAATGTGACAAACATGGCCTGAATTTTAGAAAGGTGAAGCTACGCAGTTTAAACTGTCCAAAAATGTTTTTACAAATGTTTCCGTCGAGCCATTTAGTTTTGATACATATATCGAAGTGCAATATGTTATATCTGATAATTGATGCACTTCCCATAAAAAATCAGCAATGGCAAAAAGAGAATGAGGAATAAGGAGAGAGAGAGAGAGACAGAGAGAGAAAGAGAGAGAGGCGGTAGTGTGATGTACTCCCACACCTTTGCTATTGCTGGATTCTGGTATCTGTACCAGAGCTTCTGGAGTGGGAGATTCAGATGAAGACAGCATACAGAGAAGCAAATACATGCTGGAATTCCTCATCACTTCCATGAAAACAAAAATTGGGATTTCTTTTATTACTTGGCTTACTTTGAGGGCTTTTTGTGTCTGTTTTTTTCCCTCTTCTCTGCTCATCACTGTTGAATATTTACATGGATTTTGAACTAGAGATTTTTCTCATCTGAGTGAATGCGGTGCACTCGAAACTGAAAATCCTCTTCATTTTGTATGGGGAAATTGAGTGACTGAACTTAACTAGCCACCTTTCAAAAGTCTCTCAAAATGGCTCCTCGAAGCTGATTGAAATCTGTTTAAATCTGTTACCTTCCTGTGATCATGTTTGCCAGGATCTTCATCCCCAAGAAGCATCGGCAGCGCTTCGACGAGGCCGTTTCTCAGAGTCTCATCAACCGCATGTGCCGTAGCAAGAGTTTGGGTGAGCCCCAAAACAGACTGCGTCGGAGCCGAAGTCAAGACCACCATGAGCGTCCTCAAGGATCCAAAAGGGCCAGCTCTGTGCCCAGAGATACCGGTGATGAGCCTGCCCAAAATGACCGTACCCTCAGGAAGAGCAACACCATGATTCCTACCCAATATGTCTCTGGAGTCAACCAGAGGTGTGTATAATACAAGATATATTACATTTTATACATTTATTTTAACTCTTTTTTTTTTTATAATGGGTGGTATGATTGTTTATACATTTTATGTGAAATTGGCTATGTTTTATATTCCATTCAAGTTAAAAATGACAAATTAGTTCCAAAACAGTGCAGGAAGTCTCCTCAAACGCAGAACACTGTGTGATTAGGGGGAGACATTGTGTGTGGGTGGGTGAGAAAAACACTATTCAGTTGTGTTTGTTTCTGTGCCTCATGCTTTCACATGCACGTACTCTCCACATCACGAGCTCATTTTCTGACGGTGATCTATTGGTTGATCATTTTAGAATCAGTTATCTTCCTATTATAATCATGGCTTAACCTGCTGGGAAGATTGCCATTGTTTCGTTTTCAAGCCATAAAGCTTCTTATTTTAATTTCAGCCATAGTACAAGCAGATGCTTGATTTTAGACTGCTTTTATATTTGCTCATACTGTATATCTTTGATCTGATGTCAGCACAACCTACTTTGTTTGTGATTTGAAAGCAATATCTCAAATATTCCTGAGGAAGTATCAACGACAGTGTTTAGATAACAGCAAAAGTAGATATGATCCCCTGTATACTGAATTCCTCATCTGAAAAGCTGCTGCTCTTCAATAAATAATGCATCCTTGGCTGAGTCCTTATGTAATCCCTATAGAGAATTTTCTCTTTTTTTAACAAGTCTTTGTTTGTCTGTCATTCCCTTTCTAATCCACTGCCAGGGTTTGGTTCTGGTGGCCCACCTTATGTAAAATGGCACTGCGACAAGAAGCAAATGTTTTCGCCTTATCTCTGTTTACTCAACCGCTCCAGTGTCGCCTTGAGGTGTTGCCACAGCAACCACTGAGGCTAGCTATACTCTAATGATATGTCATAGGATTTCTCTAAGAAGCAGGGAAATTGCTTCTCAAAAGGCTATTTGAGTAAGGCATTGCCATACTTGTCCATTTTGTTACAGATATAGGTTATTGTCATGGTTGGCCTCCGTCACACATAGGTCACATACTTTCAGTAAACATACACAATAACTTAAAAAATTTTAAAAAAAAAATTTTGCTGGTAGGCAAACTCTACATGGAAAATCCCATATAGACATGTTAGATAGAAGGGTAGAGGCTTGTCTGGGGATAAACAATCTGCACACTGTTCCATAGCAATGCTCTATCAACCACCTAAAATACCTTTGGCTCCACCACCCCTTTAGAACACCTTGCCAACCAGTTAGCAACCCCTTATGTATGTTTACGTGATGATAATGTGGCACAAATAGATATATTCTTTCATCACATTTTTGAAAACTTTGCATATGGACAACAATTTTGTAAATTGTTTCCTGTTCACACAGAATAATAAATCTACTATAAAATGTAAGCTAGTAGTTTGCGGTTACTTTGCAAAAAATAAAAATAAAAAAACACACCACACATACACATCAATTTTTAGTATTTGTGCATACCTGTAATCTGTACCTGTGTTTTTTAAATTGATAATGATAATTGATAATAATGTTAATAATAGTGGTATTATTTTCAATAATGTACAGTTTAAAGCTTCTGTCCCAAAGCGGGAAGACCTACAAAAACTGTTGTTGTGTAAATGAATGGTCAAAATGCATAAATTGTTTTTTTTTTTTTTTTTTTTTTTTTGACAATGGGTTTGCGTAGACACCCTGGGCCCTATCATACATCTGGCGCAATAAGGCATAAGATGTGTTTGGCACAATTTGTTGCTATTTTCAGACCAGCGCAACCCTAATTTTCACGTTTTGCGCCACGTTGTTTAAATAGCAAATCCATTTGCGTGACTGTGTAGTCATGGGTGTGCTGGTCTAAAAAGGTGTGTTAAGGCTCATTGTTGGCTCGTTGCTATTTTGAAGAACTGAATTAGACTCCGCCATTGACCAACTAAAAGCTGGTCTAAAGTCCAGCGCAGAGCGCGTTAGTTGTCTGCCTATGCAAGTCCAAAAAAGTACACATTGCTTAATACTCCCAGTATGTACCGCAATACACAAATATCTTTACTTATAAAAAAAATAAAGGATAAATATGTTACAAAAATTATTATTTTCTACATAAAAATAAAAAACCCTGCCTCCATGCCTACTTCATCTCAGAGGGCTTCTTTCAGTTTATTCATGATAATTTGCATTTGTATATTATTATTATTAAGAGTATTATTTATTATATGCATATTTATGTTGGTTTTAATAAAAACAAGTTTAGATTTGTCCACATGTTGGGTTTGGAGATGTTTGCATCACCATATGGGGCATAAGGATAGGACGTGTGTTTGGATATAACTCAGTGTAATGGAAGGGGAGACTCTGATTGGTTTAATGCACCCATAACTCATTAAGGTAATAAACATAACCCTGTTAGACCATGCGCTGGGGCACAGAGTGTATTTTTCCATCCTTAAAGTAAAAGTGGATTCGAACATGCCCTTAATGCTTTTTGCGCCATGCGCTTTTGACTAGATTGTTAAAATACAACAATGTAATTGCTGATTTGAATCACATTTTCAAGATGTGATCTGGGCCTATGACATTGGATTGTCTGCAGTTTAACCATGTTGAGGGGAATATTTTAGACCGGTTTCTGTTTTTATAAATAGGCACATGCAGTTTGACTATATTGAGGCAGCAATGTTTTACAGAAGAATTTTATATAACATCTGATCATTGCACACATAATGTACATGCCAAACCTTTATAATATGGTATGTTGCATATATAGACAACATGTCTAATTCTACATCTGTTTGTAAATATCTGTATATCCCAACATACCATTGTGTCATATGCAGAAATGTTCTCAAATTTAGCCCTTTTATTGTATGTTATTTATTAATAAATCACTGGCACATTCAACTTTAACCATTTTGTTTAAAAGCTTTGGTCCCAACAACTTTCTATACCTACTAGGGAATCTAGATTTTAACCATTTTAAAATTATATTTAACAAAGTAAACAGTATAATTTTAACAATGCAGACATTAATACGGATTATGTTTGACATGTTTTTGATTTTTTTTTTAAATTATGCTTATTTTGAGAAAAAATATATATTTAAAGGCAAATCACGTTCACATGACACACAGTGTTCATTAATAGCAAAATGAACAATGAAGACAAATAAAAATGCAGATTTTACAGCAATATCAATAATTATTGATTAAAACATTCCAGCCATCTCAACAACTTCAGCTTTCTACATATTCACTGTTTAAAGACAGAAAAGACATCAGCATTTTATTTGCTTCACTTTGAGGTATTTTTAATGATTGTTTAATCTTTAATGGTTACATTTAATGTTCAAGAAAAATTCTAGATAAGTAGCTTGTCATTGTGGATCTATTTATACTACAGTATTGATGTGCATCCAGCAATATGCCCAAACCCCGTTTAGTATGCCTACTATATATGACTGCCCACTACAAGCTAAAACTGTGGCGATGATAGCAGCAGTCATGTTCTTCATAAAACGTGAAAATCTCATTTTGAATTCAAGTATTGGATATTATGTGGGTGTTAAACATACTGTGCAGCCAGCAATGCGTCTCTCTTTTCCTCTGCAGAACCATCCGTGTGTACAGGGGGAAGAAGAGTTTTGGCTTCACTCTGAGAGGTCATGCTCCTGTGTGGATCGACTCAGTAATGCCAGGTGCTTGTGAAATTTATTTATTTGCATTATTTCTCGGCTTCGATAATAATTTAAATGTATATTTCCAGATAATAAACAAACACGTCTTCAGAATCCAAAAGCATTCTTTGCATAATGATGAAGCTTTTTTAAAAGTATTAGAATATATAAAACATATAAATTTGCATTCATAACTTGAATTGTGTGTGTATGTATGTATATATATATATATATATATATATATATATATATATATATATATATATATATATATATATATATATATATATATATATATATATGAATGAATATAGGCGAGGCAGTGGCGCAGTAGGTAGTGCTGTCGCCTCACAGCAAGAAGGTTGCTGGGTCACTAATTCGAACCTCGGCTCAGTTGGCGTTTCTGTGTGGAGTTTGCATGTTCTCCCTGCCTTCGCATGGGTTTCCTCCGGGTGCTCCGGTTTCCCCCACAGTCCAACGACATGTGGTATAGGTGAATTGGGTAAGCTAAATTGACCGTAGTGTATGAGTGTGGGTGTGAATGTGAGTGTGGATGTTTCCCAGAGATGGGTTGCAGCTGGAAGGGCATCCGCTGCGTAAAAACTTGCTGGATAAGTTGCCGGTTCATTCGGCTGTGGCGACCCCGGATTATTAAAGGAATCAAGCCGACAAGAAAATGAATGAATGAATGAATATAAATGAATATATATTTGCATATATCACAATGCAAGAGTGCTTTTCTTTTAAGTTCCATCAGAGCACTCACAAATATTAATTTGACTAATACAACAATTCAACAAATAAGCAATTAATGCTCACATACCACTGCAAACCCAACAGTCCAAAATGATCAGCCTTTTAAAACTGCTTGAGAATAGTTATCGTTGTGTTATTCTAGAACTTTTGTCAACTTTTCCGTTTTGATTGAGCATAAATGCAAGCATGGATATTCACATCCACTATTTTGCTTTTAATAGGAGTCACTTTTTTGATTAGCAAGTTTCTGCTAACAAAAATATAACTTTCTGATAGAAATAACAACTTCAGACGTAAATTTTCACTGCGGTGAAAAAGCCTTGCTCTCCTGTTTGCTGGAGAAAGTGAAATTTGCACCTTTGGGGGCAGTCTGGTAACTTGTACACAATTATATGCTGTATAAAAGATTATATTTTTAGGGCGATGAATTCATAAAATATGATGACAGACATTCAAAACTTAACTCTAAAATCCTAATAGAAGCTTTAAATTTAAATATGAATGTAAAAAGTTTTCAGTTAAGTCTGGTTTAGTAGTTATAGTTTTAGTAGTTATAGAGTTCTGGTAGTTTAAGTGTCCTTTTTGTGTTGTCAGTGAAAGTACTTCAGACAAAGCCTCATTATTTGTGCGGTGTCTAAGAGCAACACCCTTTTGCTACTTATTAATGAACTCATATTCACACATTAATATGGACAGATTCTTGCTTTGTTTTTAAACGAGCCAGCCAATTTCAATGAATAGTTCGAATGAATGGTTCAGTAAATTACTCATTAAATGATTAGTTCACCCAAAAAATGTAAAAGTGCCCAATATTTACTCAGCCTTTGTGTGTTTTCAAACCTTTAAAACTTTCTTTTTATGTTCAAAACAAAAGAAGATATTTTGAAAGAAGCTGAAAACCTGTAACTGTTGATTTCTATATTGGAAAAACTAATTCTTTGGAAGTCAATGGTTACAGGTTTCCAGCTTTTTACAAAATTTCTTCTTTTGTGTTTGACAACAAGATGAGGGGTGAGTAAATGATTACAGAATAAAAACTTTTCGGTGAACTATCCCAATACCACTGTGTCCTAACAACACATGGCATGACAAGTTTCCAGTGACAAGCAAATTGTCTGACTGTACAAGACGTGACATGACAGAAACATTCACATAACAGAGCCAAAGAATAGTGCACTGCACCCCCAATAAAATAGTATTTAATCTAATTAACACATATTAAAGCTTTTTAACATTATTAATAAATTCATTTTCCAAATATGTTAGCTACTTTTTTTTTTGGAAGATCTGAGGTAAACTATCTACTGTCTCCTTCAGTTTGGCAATAGGTTGTTTTCACTTGACACCATTGATGACGCACAATATTCAGATGGAGGGCAGGAAGTGATTCTTCTACATAGGAATCGCTATCAGAACATCAAAATATTTAGGTTTTCTGTTGTTTATAATTGTTTACATCGGCCAAAATTAGAAATGCAGAACAGCTTTTATACACTTCCACAAGTTTTTTGCTCATAGTTCATGAAACTAACTGAAAAACGGAAAAAAAGGCGGCATGTAATCAACATTTATTCAAACTTTTTTGAATGTGATTAATACGTTTGACAGCACCCATAAAGTTTATATATAGCCCTAGACACTAATGTAGACTATGCGTCCACGCATTTGTAAGCTTTCATCCGTTATTTCGGGATGTCTGGAGGATATCCACATGGAGTAAAAACAATAGTAAATTATTATAAACACGTTTTTTGAACTCTTTGTTAATGAATGCTACAGAATACTGTAGCACAGTAAACCGATAAACTGTAACGTTAGTGTAAACTGTAGTGCATTGTAATTGTGTATAATTATAGCATAGAAAACTGAAGCCTATTAAATAATTTGTTTGATACTACAGCTGTACCACAGCAACAATATAAGTACTACAACAGTTTAGTTCAAGTAATTATCTATAGGATGCTTCTGAACAGTATTTAGGATTTTTTTCATGTAATGTAATAACTTATACAGTATCTAACGCCTTGATGACAGGCTAAAAATTTTAGGTTCAGTAGAAAACTCGGCCCTCTTCTTGATATAAGGGTCATGCACAACATATGTGATTATTTTATATTTATATCTCCTTTGAAATATGATATAAATCACAATAATATGGACCTTACTATGTCTGTTTGGTCTACATGGTCTGAAGATGATCCGAGTCAAATTTGGTGAAGATTGGTACAAATGTCTTGGAGGAGTTAAAAAAGAATGGTTTGAACAAAATCAAAATGGCAGGCAGGAAGTTTGGCTAATTATGTCATAATTGGTTTTCAATTTCATCAAAATAAGCATATGCGGTCAGAAGTTATTACCAAATGTGTACGTTTCATTAATAATAACTAATAAATGTCTTATAATTCTTGATCCATAGGAGGCACTTTTATGGTGTGGTCACTGGTCAGTGTGAGGCAGCAATGACGGGCCTAAAATTTGGTGTCATTATCTTTAACTATCGCAGATATACAACCTCAGATGGAGTTTGGCATCATGCCATCACATTTGTCACTGTAGTTAACAAAAACCATTACACCTATCGACACACCTTCAATACCTTTTTGTCAGTACGGTCTGAAGATGATCTAAGTCAAATTTGGTGCAAATCAGCAAAACAATGTCGGAGTTAAAAAAAAGTAGGTTTTTGGCTCAAGACTAGACGGCGAACGGGACAGTCAGTGAATTAAGGCTAGGTTGGTATCAATATTCTTAGGGCAACCCAAGGAATCTATCAAGACAAGTATTATAACAATAAGTAAAATTAGTTCAAAGATAATAGCATTTTAGGAATATTGTAACAATGTTTGACCAAAAGGTGGCGCTGCAACAACTTTTTGAACACCTTTAGGGCACAGTCCCAAAGGCACATACCGACTTTCATAACAAATCGCCAATGCGTACTTAAAATATAGCAATTTTCGACAATTCAAAATGGCCAATGGCCAAAATGACTGACCTGGGAAAATCAGACATTACTTGACTCGGCATGCTCCACTGGATGTAAAAAGAATTTTATAAACATTGGACAGAGGGTTGAGCAAATATAAGCAAAAGAAAAGCCATCTTTGGTATCTCCGGACCACTAGGGGGCAGTGCACCGAAACGCTGCAGCTCACTTTAGACCACGGTTGTCAAAACACACACCAAGTTGATGTAATTACAGTACGTCTATGCGTTACAGAGATAACACCTTAAGTAAATTTTCGCAAGCTCTGCGGTAAATTTGTTCGTAAGTTTATCGAAAACGGCTTGTCTAATCAACTTGAATTCCATAACTCTTGGTCAGCATGGTCTGTAGAGCATGTTGATCAACTTAAGTAAAAACCAGACAAACAGCCAAGGATGAGTTTGTTTAATGGCTTCCAGAAGAAGAAGAAAAAGAAGAGAAAAGAAGAAGAATAAGAAGTAGCCGGAATAATAAGAATCAGAACAGATACAAAAGTTGCCTGCGCAGCTTCGGTGCTTGGCCCCTAATTAGAAACTATTTCTAAAATAGAAATTTTACAAGTCGTCTTAACGGCTGGTTAGGACAAAAACACTTTTTAATGTGGAAACGGCCATTTTTATCACATGTCGCAGCATCTTATCACATGTAGCTGTATTAGGGGTTTCCCTAACACTCCTAATAAAATATTTTCACCAGCAGCCATTTCTAATGCTTTTTTCTCACACAAATCACCATAATCCAGGATGTGTGTTTTGTTGCTCTCAGAGTCTGTTCAGCGTGAAGGGTCACATTGCCAAAAGGCTGCAAAGACGACGTGTGAATAACATGCACACAGAATGCACAGCTGGGGTCAGTGGCTGCTTTTCAAGGGGAACAGACTGTTTGTGAAAGAGGAAGTAGTGGGCTGTTGAACTAATGAACAAGCCTTGGGTACATTTGTATTGAAGTCTGCACGAGTGGTGTGAGGGCGGTGAGTGTGTGAGTGCGTGTATGACGATATTCGCCCACTGCAGGCCTGTGCTAAGGCTAGTTAACACTGACTCAGCCACCCGTGTGGGGATGCTTATGAAAACAAGTAGGAGTCCTGCATCGTGATGAGAAAAAAACTCTTGCGGACCTACGACGGAATGATTTAATTACAACTAATCACAAAGGACGGCGGGGTTACACATTAATAAGAGTCACTGAAGTGGATTGTGTGTGTGTGCGTGTGTGTATTATTTGCTTGAGTGTCTGAGGATTTATACTGTGTCTCAAACCATTGTTTTTCTACTACAGGGAGTCCAGCTGAAGCATGTGGCCTTAAAACAGGAGATCGCATATTGTTCCTTAACGGGCTCGATATGAGGTGTGTGTTTGTTTTTGTTATAATGTGATGGTGTTTTAAAAAATTATTAGCAGTTAAAATGGTGTTACAGTAAATACTATGGCAAACAAAGAGGAATAGAATAAAATAGAACTTTGTATTACAGTGTGAGGTAATAAAATATCCTTTTTCACCACCAATCTTTCAATGATCCAATCAGTTCCTAAAGGACAAAATCATGCACCGCCATTCACTATTTTCTCTTTTTAGTGCTGTTTCAATTGGATATACAACACAAGACAATTAAGCTTTACCGCGGTTTGGAAAAGTCAAGGTTTTTAAGATTTTCTTTTGTACCATTCTAACAATATGTACGTTTTTTTTTTTTACGATGTATGTAAGATATGTATGATATATATTTGTTTCTTAGTTTTAACACGCTAATACTGCTATTTAATTAAGTTTATTAGGGAAAATTATCTCCAGAAGAAAACTGTTTTTGAATCTAATGTAGAATCTGATGAATATATTTAATTATTTAGCCTGACATGTTATTGACATATTTTAAACGTTTCTTAAAAAACAGAAAACAAAAAACAAACTTAACTTCCATTTTATGGCGACTTTAGGATACTTTTAAAAATGCTTCACACACAAAATGGTGGTGTAAATATTTGCAAGTAAATTTAACTTAAAATGTTCCATTTAAATAATTTCAATTGTTTTGTCTAAAACACAAAAAAATAATAATAATAATTACAGAGGGAAGAAAGCAATCAGCTTCCAACATGCTTTAATTGACCCTTGTGCATTCATTTTAAACACACACATACAATTCAACATATCCTGCGTCAAAAAAGCTGTAATTAAAGTTGTTTTCAATAGTTTACACTTAGCTGATGATTTATAAAAGCTTGTTTGGCATGCTGTCCTGGGAGAGAGCCCCGAGCTAAAGGGCTCCTCGAGCCCGGGGCTTCCTCCCGTTGGCAGAGCAAGAGGGGAGCCTGAGCTCAGTGGATCTCAGAACTCCCCTGCTGCGGTAGCTAAGGGAACACAAGGGATTAGACAAAACTTGATTGTTATGTATGTTGAATGTCTTTGGATGGTGGGAGGAAACCGGAGAACCCGGGGAAAACCCACGCGGACACAGGGAGAACATACAAACTCCTCACAGAAACACCCACCGGTCCTGTGGAACCAGGGCTGGCAGTGTCTTGCTGTGGGGCTCACAGTGCTAACCACTGGGCCGCCGTGCCGCCCAATCAGAGGTAAAGGAGGAGAATATGGGAGGAGGGGGGTTTCTTCCAAACGAAGATAAAGTGAACTGAAAACTGAGGCTATTTATAGTAGCTTAGGGCTCATATGATTGGAAGATAGTGATTAGCAAATGCAAGACCGGCCGTGATAAATCATAAGCACGTGATCCTCTCGAAATTAGTTTTTGAATAAACTTCACTTATAGGTGTTAGTATCAATATGTGTGTCTAAAGATCATCTATAATCTAGTGTGCTCCAAAACAGTGACAGGCCCACCGTGTCTTTGTTTCAGTTGAGATTATGTCAAACATTAAAACAATATACATTTCCAAACACTTCACGTGACGTACTGTACCTTACAGGATCATATAAATAAACACACACAGCGGCACGCTGATACACTGGCTTTTATGAGGAGACTTTTATTCTGCTTCAGATTTAGATTTTAAAAGATGGAGTTTGATGAACTGGATGAGCCTGTTTGACTCTCAGTGAATGGCAAATGAAAGTGTCCCTTGTCTCAAAACTGTGCATTATGAGAAAAAGAAAACTCAAAACTCAATGTACAGTTGGAAGTGTAGCATGCATTCATGCACTTTTTTTTTTATTGCTCAGTGACGCTACTTTGAATGTGTTCGATTTACTATACATTAAAAGGCAACTGTGCTTACAAAAGACGAAGTTAAGATGCCATTCTTTTATCCTGCATGGATGCTTTGAGGATAAACAATAAATGAAAAAGAGATTAAGACCTTGAGTATAGTAAGGATGAATAAATGACAGCCTCTGAGAAACATCCTCTTTTTTGCACAGCCGGCCTACCTTATGTTTTATTTGCTAATGTGAGCTATGTTTTAAAAGATAAATTACTATACATTATTTATATTACTTCAATAAATTATATTATTTTTTAGTAATGGTCAATGCACAAATATAGATGTTTCACATGCTTTTACACTACATTATTTGAATCTAACAAACTTGTTTACATTGCTCTACTTACAATAAATCCAAATCCCAAATATCCGAAATGACAACAGATTGTTAAGATTTAATTAATGTCAAGTTTAATGGTATTGATTAATGCACTTACTTGACAGATTTTATTCATTCATTTTCCTTATCAGGGGTTACCACAGCAGAATAAACCGCCACTTACTTGACAGATTTATGTATTTTTAATTTCAGGTGGTTTGTGTAATGTGTTTTATGTTTATTAAAATATTTTCTAATTGCATATTTAGTGATTTTTCAACTAATTACACTGTCTTGTCCCAATAGGTGGATTTAGAGATTTTTGCATAAAAAGGAGAAGTGGATTTAGCTGGTTTTGACACAAAAGAATATCTACCTTGTTAAAAACCAAAGAATTGTCTAAAGTGACATTTTTGAAAAAAATAAATAAATAAACTATTTTATTTACTAGTTAATATCCTTATTATTATCTATAAAATGAAACTTCTAAACCTAATTAGAGGAGCCTAATACAAAATGCTCATTTACAAAAAAAGAGGTCTGATGGATTTAGAGGGTATTGCATTTGAACTCTGAACCTTAATTTCTTTATCACCCTCAGTCTTGATGATAACTACCCAAAAAGTTTTTATTTTATTTTCAATATTTATTATTCTTTTTATTACAGTTTACATAATGACACTTATAAAATGTATTATTTACCATGTACTAATTCCTAAATGCTACAATACTTTTCTGTTTGGTTGTTGATTTATTTGTTAGATTATTACATTCTTGGATATGTCAAATAAAACACTCATGCAAATATCTGAGTATATCGATAAAAAGTGCCAATACACCCACTTAATTATAATTCAAAACTTTATTACATTTGTTTTCTGCTCAAAGTAATTTGCTCCACAGGCCAAAATGGAAACAACGGTGACAAAATGGCTGAAATGAGCAGTTTAATATGCTTTTAAACGTACTTTCACGATCAGTGTGTGGGGAAAAGGAGGGAGGACGCAGGTGCAGTAAAAAATGTTATTTATAATAAAATTAAAGGCAAAACAAACTGCCCCAAGGGGGAAAACATTACCAAAACAAATAAACAAACTAGACTGGGTAGGCTGGCAGGGATCAGGACTGGAACACACAACAGGACAACGCAGCATAAGACGACGAATTGGCACAGGACAGCAGACATGAGGAGAATATCAGCAGAAATAATTTACAAACAGACAGGTGAACATAAACTAATAACGGGTTGACAAGGGTGGGACTAGACAATAGACAGGAGAGCACATGACCCAAGAAAACACCACAAGCCATGTGCTCACATAAAACAGGACAAGAACACACAGCCAACGAGAGAACTCATTAACCGCGTGTTCACAAGACAACACTAACAGCACAAAACTGAAGCACGCTGCCACAATGTACACACAGAGCCACGCACTTAGACAGCATAAACATAGGCAAGATTAGAGCAAACGATAGATGAACACCTTACCCTGTGCTCACACGTATTCAACGCACGTGTTTCATCTCAGCGCCTACCAAAACCAACCAGACTGAGACGCTGAGAATGAAACCGCGCGATGCCAACAGAACAAAACACAAACACGAGCACAAGAGTGTGGATCCCAAGCATGCACAGACCTTGCGCGCCTGCATTTAGCGGGAGTGAGCATAGTCTGAGCTCACTCACGACCATACAGAGACACAAAGATAGAAAAGGAGTGCTCGAGCAGAGCACAACATACAGGACAATACTGAACTAGTGTCTGGGCTCTGCCACCAAAACAAGAATTTACAAGACCACAGTGGCAGAACCCTGACACACACAGTGTAAAAGAGATGTATAATATAAAAGGAAATGAAAGTGTAATATAACAACTTTCAATGAAAATACACTTTTTAAATGCAAAATGTAGCCAAAAAAAGACTATGTATATTTTGTATATAGGGTTAATGTTCAATAAAATAGGCCTACTCATGTAACGATGTGACAAGTAAAGTTTGAAATAGATTTACTTCATTAACAATATTCATTTGTATTTTCTGCTGCTCCTTATAACAAACAATAAGCTTTGTTTGTTTAGTCCTAAATGTAAATCTCTATCCTGCGGCCAGGATTTAGCTGCTTCTGTGTAGTTAATCTCAAGAGGCTGCAGTTGACTTGAGCATGTAGATGCTTAACTTACTGTAATACTGCCTTTGGGGCAATGACAAACATAAAATCCAGTAAGTAACATATTTCCTACAACACCAACTGTGCAAATATTTAGACGTAATATTAACAAAAAGATGCTGTTTATTTTTGTGCATCTCTAAACTGAAGCTTTTCTCAGCAGAAATCACATATAATAGAAACGATTATAGTTGAAGGGATAGTTTAGGGATTGCCAACAATGATGTTTCTCTCATCGTTTATACTTACTTTCCACACTTGTGTTGTTAATGACAAATTCAATAAAACAGATTGAAGAAAGAAATGTAATATTAATAAGCATAATAATAATATAATATTGATAAGAAAATCACCGTATTTGTATTGTTAGTTCACTCATTCATTCATTTTCCTTTCGGCTTAGTCCCTTTATTAATCTGGGGTCGCCACAGCGGAACGAACCAACAACTTATCCAGCACATGTTTATGCAGCAGATGCCCTTCAAGCAGCAACCCATCTCTGGGAAACATCCACACACACTCATTCACACACACTCGTACACTAAGGACAATTTAGTTTACCCAATTCACCTGTACCGCATGTCTTTGGACTGTGGGGGAAACCGGAGCACGAACACAGGGAGAACATTCAAACTCCACACAGACATGCCAACTGACCCAGCCGAGGCACGAACCAGCCACCTTCTTGCTGTGAGGCAACAGCACTACCCACTGCGCCACTGCGTCGCGCTGTATTGTTCATATGCAAATAATTAATTTACATTTACATATACATTTAGATGTTTTTTTTTTGTCTACGCAAACATATTAAATAGGCTTTTGTAAAAATTACAAAAAAATTGTTAAAGAAAAAAGAAACGGGATGAAAGCAAAGAATAAAACACAAATTAATTTGTTTTGTTATATGTGAGCTAACATTGCTTATTTCATAAATTACAGGCACAATGAACGACTACAATACAGAGTAGACCATCTCTTGATTTTAGTTTGTAAAGCCTTTACAAGTATGCTATTTTACTATATAAACTAATATATATTTAATGTTTATTAAATATTTTAGTATAACTTAAGTGTTTTGTCATAATTCAGTCATCAATTACTCACTTTTCGTGTCATTTCAGTTCCATAAGAAACTTACATCATATGAAAGATGCTATTTTTAATCAAACCGGATTATTTCCATTATTCCACTGAATCTCTGATGCTTCAAAATGTTCAGTGGATAAATGTGAATAAAATACTAAATTACATTTGTTCATTATATGAAGCAATAGTGTCCCTTCATAAGGCCTTGATTGAATGTCTCCGTTTATGTGGATATATTTTACATTCTTGTTACAATTTTTATTGTTAATTTGATTACTTCTATTGCTTTTATTGCAAGTCACTTTGAAAAATAAACTGCCAAAGGACAAGTTGAAGTAACAAAAGAAATAAGAAAATATAATAGAAATAGGGAAAAGGTTAAGGTAATCTAAATAAAAAAATATATAAGGGAAATAAAATTAGTTAGTGTCTGGATTTGACTTTGATGTATTGTCCACAAATGAAAATCGCCAACATCCAAATCACATGCATCACAAGAAAGCAAGTAACACTATAACATCCAAAAACATACTACTACCACTCCAACTACTACTATTACTTCTTCTAACACTACCACAATCAATACTATTGCCACAACAACAATTACTACTACTACTACAACTATTACTACTATTACTATGAATACTACTACTAATACGATTACAACTACTAATACTACTACTACTGTCACTATGACCATGACTACTACAATTACTACAACTACCACTACTACCACAATGACTACTACTACTGCCTCTACAACTAATACTACAACAACTATTACTACTATAACAACTACTATAACAACAACTACTACTACTATAACTACTACTATTACAACTACTACTACTAATACTAATGCTACTACAACTACTACTACAGCTACTACTACAACGACTACAACTACTACTACTACTACATTGACTACTACCACTACTACAACTACTACTACTAACACCACTTCAACTACTACTACTAATACCACTACAACTACTAATACTACTTCTACAACTACTTCTACAGCGAAACAAATTAACAAAATAAACGATTAATAAAACACATTAAAACGCAATTAACTATATTTATACTTAAAATGTAGTATTTAAAAATTCTAATGTCAGCTGGCTCAAATGACATTAGATACACATTGAGGTTGCCTAAAACATTTTTTATGACAAAAGCTGAATTTTTTTATTAAAGGCATGGGAACTGTCTTCAATAATGACATGTACTTACTGTTTAATTCCCATTAGAAAAAATTGGTTGTCTTTGTGGTTTAGAACTTATTTATTAGAACTATAACAAACTAAAAAATATAGAATATCAAATAGAGGAGATGGTGATCAGGTTAGAGGACCAGAGCACTCATTTATAGATCAAATAGAAAGTGTTAGTCACAGGAGTGTTGGATGTGAAAAAAAAAAAAAACATAAGTAATCATAACCAACAAAAATTCTGTCATAAGTATCAGATATTAGATGAATGAACTAAAATCTTATTAAAACAACACAATTTTTCTTCTTTTGAGTGAATAACTAAATGTTGGCTGAATATATTTTTATGGTTAACTGAAATAATCATTTCTTATTGAATCTGTTGAACGCACATCCAGGAACTGCTCCCATGAGAAGGTGGTGTCGATGCTGCAGGGCAGTGGTGCGATGCCCTCCCTGGTGGTGGAGGAGGGTCCTGTGGATTATCCTCAGTCCGATTCAGAACCAGAGGAAACCCCCAGCGCCCCCCGCTCACGCTCCCCAGCCCTCAGCTCTCTGCAGTGGGTGGCTGAGATCCTTCCTCCCAGCATTCGCGTTCACGGCCGTACCTTCAGCCAACAGCTGGAACACCTGCTCACCCTGCAGGAGAGATACACCATCTGCAAAGCTCTGGAGACCTTCTTCCAGCACAGGTCAGGTCTAAATTTATCATGGCTGACTCTTAAATTAGCTGAGGCCGCTAGTACAGAGATTAAAAACAATTGTGTCAAACCAAAAAGGAGTTTAATATGCAATTATATATACAGCCTTTGAAAAACTGAAAGATCATACAGTTTATGGTAATATTAGATTTATTCTATCTTTGTTAACATTACTTCCAACTTACAAGTAAAAAGGTTTGTTACCTAATTATTTTGTCATAAAATTACAATTAGTCCAAATAGCATGTTTTCTTTTTTTATGATAGAAGAAAAGGGTTTTTCAGCCTAATACTGGTTTCTTAACTCTTCTGAAATTAAAACATTGTAATCGTGTTACAATAGAATGTAAGGACTTTATTTTAACGATCTAGGAGCAAAGTCTAAAGCGCATGGTGCAAAAGCATTAAGTGCATATCCAAATCCACTTTTGATATTTTAAGGATGGAAAAATTCTTTGCGCGACGGTGCATGGTCTAACAGGTTTGAGCTTATTCTCTTAAACACTAATGAGTGAGTTTTGAGTATAAGGTGTTTTAAACCAATCAGAGTCTCATCTCCCATTCCCTTTCAGAGTCCGTTCATTGCACCATGGTGCATTTTGTATTTACATGGCAGACTTGTTTGTGTAAAAACTGAATGGACAAACTAAATGCTCCACTAGTGAAAAAACTGTTTAACAGACTATCTGCGCAAGGATAAAGAATGAGCCTATCCCTTTCGGCCTCTTTATTTTCTTTTTACTTTCCTTTTACTCTTCACTTTACTCCTTTACCTTTGTATAAAAAAGTGTTGTACATACTTCACTGAAGACAATCATTAGCCTACATATTAAACTAGTTTGTGAAGAGCAAAGATTTGTTTTAAAACTATTTCTAAATTCAGGTCTAATTTCCAGCAAACGAATACATTAACAATAATAACAAAGTGGTGTATATATCCAAACACGTCCTATTCTTATGCCAGGTGGACAAATCCAAAGTAGTTTTATTAAAACAAATAAAAATATGCATATAATATATAATACTGCTAATTATAATAACATTATTCAAATTCTATTCTAGAATTTTTTAAAGAGAACTGATCGCAAGTGAACGGAAATAAAAAACGCAAGTAAACGGGGACGCTTGCGTGCGCTTTTTAACAGTTGCGCGCATCACATCACCTGTGTGCGTGAGTAATCATCCTCTCATAGGGTATTCACCTGCTTTGTCTCGTGCGAACACAGTTGTTGTTTTCAGTCGTGCTGCTTCTCGATTCTAAGATCACATTTGCATGCATATTGGGCCATGCTTATTGTCGAACCCTGCTTTAAGAAAACTACAATGTAAAAAATATTTCCAACCTGCCAAAGTGGCTAGTTGCAGCGGCTGTCCAACCCGCCAAAGCTGAAATCTACCCGCATTTGGCGGGTTGGCGGGTGTTAATGTAAAGCCCTGGTAGTAAATAACAATTTTTGTAACAATTTAATCCTTTATTTTTTTCATATGTAAATATATTTGTGTATTGCTGTACATCCTGTGTGTATTAAGTGAACCTGCATAGGCGCACAATTAACGCACTCTGCGCTAGACTTTAGACCAGCTTTTACTTAATCAGTTGTGCAGTCTAATTCAGTTTTTCAAAAAAGCAACGTGCCAACAATGAGCCTTAACACAACTCCTTTATAGACTGGAACACCCATGAGTCCACAAACTGGCACAAATGGATTAAATGGCTATTTAAACAACGTGGTGCAAAACGTGAAAATTAGGGTTGTGCAGGTCTGACAATTGCGCAAAAAAAGTCTGAATGTCTGAAAAGCTTATGTTATTTTGTGGCTAACAATGCCCTAAATGACAAAAATTGTCTTTTCAAGTTTCAAGTATTCACAGAATAAAACAAGCTTTTCAAAAACCAGGATTTCAAAGTTCATTATTCAAATACAGGTCTAAACTTTAAAAAAAATGTTACTTTTGCAAATAAAATACTGTTTTCTATTTCTGTAGATTACAATATGGTAAAATACAGCATTATTATAGTATTCAGTGTCACAAGATCCTTCATAAATATTACAAATATTAATATTTTGCTGCTTAATCATTTTGTTTTACTTCTGTAAGTAGTTTACTTTCATTACTTTTTATTTTCATACACTACAACTCCAAAGGTTTTGGGTGTAAGTAAAAACCTTCAGTAAGTAATGAATTGGGTTATTTAAAAGGGATAATACATTACATTTACTACATTATTACATTTATAATGTTTTCAATTATTTAAAATATGCTGTTCCAAAAATGTATCATGACTTCCACAATAGGATTAAGCTGCAATAACAATTTATAAAATTACAATTAAGAATAAGAATGAATAGTTATAAAATGGCAATAATGCTGAATTGTGACATTTAAAGATCAAAGTAAAAAAAAAACTGCTCTGCCATCACAGGAAAAACCGTTTTAAATTAAATGTTTTTACTATATTTAATTATATAAATAAATATATATGGTGGCGCAGAGGGTAGAACGATTACCTCACAGCAAGAAGGTCGCTGATTTCGATCCTCAGCTGGCAGTTGGCTGTCAGTTGGCATTTCTGTGACAAGTTTGCATGTTCTCCCCGTGTTTGTTTCCTCCGGGTGCTCCGGTTTCCCCCACAATTAAAAAAAATGTGGTATAGGTGAATTGGGTAAACTAAATTGTCTGTAGTGTAGGTATGTATTTATGTTTCCCAGTGATGGGTTTCAGCTAGAAGCATAAAAACATATGTTGATTAAGTTGGCTGTCCATTCCGCTGTGGCGACCCTAGATTAATAAAGGGACTAGAAAATGAAGAAAATTAATGAATAAATATATTTATAAAAGAATTTAGGAGTCTTATGAAAGAGACAATAAAAGAGAGACGATTCTCCACCAATCAGCTGGTGTGTGGTGTGTGGTCTAGCGCAAAATGGCTGCCGTCGCGTCATCCAGGTGGATGCTGCACACTGGTGGTGGATGAGGAGATCCCCCCCCATTGTGTAAAGCGCTTTGAGTGCCCAGAAAAGCGCTATATAAATGTAACGAATTATTATTATTATTATTAATTAAGTTCCAAACTTTTGACAGATAGCACAGTCTGCATTTCTTTTAATTAGACTATACAGTGATCTAGTATAATAATGACTAATGCAGCGCTTGACGAGAAATAAACATTTTGAATGCGTTTGCCAATTATAGGATACAGAGCTAATTATCTCTGTTACTGTCCTTCCATATGATTACACATGCCATAGCGCACTGTTTGTGGGATTTTCTTTCAGCTTGGCAGCAACAAGGAAAGTGTGAGAAACGTTCAAAAATAGCTTCTGCCTCGAGCACAAATAGATACACATAATCAGAAGCAATCTGTGGCTTCTTCAGAATTTAATAAATAATGTTCGTCATCGTGACTGCTTGCTGAGAGAGCAGCACAATTCGCTTGTTAAAGAGATTGTTCATCCAAAAATGAAAATTCTGGCATTATTTACTCACCTTTGACTTTTTTGACACATTTTTTTCTGTTTTTGTTCCATCTTTAGAAAGATCTATAGAAAAAGTCGGAAACTTCCATAGTATTTTCCTATGGATGTCAATGGTTACCGGTTTGCAACATTTTTCATATTATCTTTATTTTTGTTAAGATTAGGGTCCAGTTTGAACGTCAACACTGTAAAAAATGTTTGGTTTCACAAAATTCCTTCATGTTTTGCCAACAAAAATTGTTTAAGGTAACTATATATATAAAATTCTATATTTTCTTTTTTCTGAAAGTCTGTTAAATGTTTTTGTTGTACTCTCCCTTTCACCTAGCTTACTTTACTATGATGACTTCCGCTGTTGAGAATCCTAGAAATCTGATAAGGATCCATTTATACAAAGCTGACTCAGTCTCTATTTGAGATTAGGCGTGGATATAAACATTATAGCCATGATTTTCTATAAATTATCACGGGGTTCCCATGGGTCCCCATGGGAAGTTTTTTTTATACCACATCATGGTTTTATCGTGATGTTTTACACATTTTGCATATTGTTGTGGTTATTGTTCAGTGCAATTTATTCCTTTTCCGCACTTTAACTTTTTAAATCAATTGTTTCCACCGAGCTGTACCTGTCCGCTAAGGCAAACAAGTCACAAAAATGTAAATTTCAAGAGCGTTGGTTAAAAAATGATCTTAGAATGGGTACTCTTGCTTTTTTGTTTTCTATTTCTTTTGAATAACCTATTTTTGCTCTCATAATGGACAATACATTTATGAAAATAAATGATATTACAATTCTAATTCATTAGCTTTAATTAGCATTAATCTTGTGTGTGAGCAGGAATGTGGACACTCTCATTGTGGATGTGTTTCCTGTGCTGGACACTCCAGCCAAACAGCTGATCTGGCAGTTCATTTACCAACTGCTGACCTACGAGGAGCAGGAGCACTGCAAGACCAAGATCGCCCGGTTCCTGGGCTTCAAGAGTGCAGGTTAGCCATGATGAGCTCACTGTGTGACCATCAGCCTTCTAGTGGCTTTCTGTCCTGAATGTTTTTTTTTTTTTTTTTACTGCAGAACCAGAGGTGGGTGCAGAAACACACAGGCGGAGCAGCTCTATGCGGGTTTCAGGTACCTCTCACAAAAACACTGTGAGAGAGAGAAGCTCCGATGACTGCATTATTGGCACTCACCTTGGAATGGGTACGGCATTTTCCACCTGTCAGTGAGTTGATTTGACTGATCAACAGGATCCAAAATAAACTTTTTCTTCACTAAACATTTAGAATATTATATTATATTATATTATATTATATTATATTATATTATATTATATTATATTATATTATATTATATTATATTATATTATCTGTATGTAAATCATTATATCTAAATATATATTACTATTAAAATGGTCTGTGGTTGGTTTAATTTTTACATTTTTAGATGCAAGTTCCTTACGCTCACCAAGGCAGTATTTACTGTAGTTAATTTGAAATATATATTTGGCCGCATCATGCGTTTTATAATCTGCTGTTAATCCATATGTAACAGCAACATTACATATGGAACATAACAGTCATGATGCATGACTCTTGATGATTTTGCATTTTGGACCCTGTTGATGTAATGATCTAAAACTAATAGGCTTTAAAAGTATATAGACTGATAAGAAGGCTTTATAAGTATATGCATACAGATAAGTAGGCTTTATAAGTATATATCGACTGATAAGTTTACACACTGCCTGGCCCAAAAAGTAAGCACTATTTTAATTTAGAGCCTATTAATACATTTTATGGCAGTGATAAATATGTTTCTGCCATTTTACATTCGACAATATTTGTTTGAGCCTTATCTGATACACTGTGTGGCTTTTGAATTTCTTAATAACCAAATCAGAAGACAAATCTAATAGCCCTTGCCAAGACAATAATGCAAAGATTTGTCTTACTTGTTCTTACACATGAATTAACCATTTGCTAATTTGTTAATCTAAACACAAATTAAAAGTCTTGAGATGTGCTGAGGTTGACTTTATAGAGTGGTTCTCCTCAGGTAGTGACCATCTTAAGGAGCCACAAAATGAAAATCTGGATATACCTATTCTTCGCTGAATAATAAGAGTTCAGTATGTGGAAATGAGATACCTTGAGCCTCAAAGTCTGTTGTTTTATTGTTTTTATGTTAATCATGTAAGTGTAAAATCACAGAGAAAAACAGGCAAATTGGAACAAAACAGACTTTAAAAATCTGCATGGGATCATTAATATTATGCACACCTCAGGCAACATTTGATTAACTACAATGTTTCCTAGTAAGATAACTATAATGATCCCCCCCCCCCTTATATTCACAGCAAGTCAGACTGCAAAATGTGCAATATCTAGATTAGAAATGTAGTCAATTTCAGCCGAAGAGACATAATGTCTGTCTAAATGTATTTTTTGTTAGTTTAAAATGCATATTGTGAACTTTTTGTTGTGTCTAAGTTTGTAATGAGGCAAGATACTCATGTCAACTGCTTACTTTAAATATATAAATAAACAGGTTGTATTAATCCATACATGTTAAAATCACAAAATACAACTTTAAATGCATCTCTGTCTGGACCTTTTGTCAAATATAATTATAATTTAACCTATATTTCGTCCACAACAATATTTAGGAGCAAATTAGGTTACTCTGGCAGCATAAAGATAGCTCACTTAAAATGCCTAAAATTAACCTTTCCACCACTTCAGTTCAAAAGTTGAAATGTCACAAAGTTTTTTTTCCCCCTTATGAGAACCACTGTCTTCTAGAGAACATCTCAAGTGTTTTAGTTTTGTTCAGGTAAATTGGTGTATGTGTGAATCTGAAGCTTTCTTTCAAAATTTAAATTCTTAGCATTGTCATACTGAAAAAGGTCTGACATAGTTGTTGAAGAAAGGAAAAGAAACCCACTGCATCAGTTAAAATAATTTCTAACAGTCCAACTAGAAGCCAGAAACATATTAATCACATCAGCAAAGAGTAAATCATAGATTCTTAAGTTTGTCCTCACTGGAACTCAAACAGTACCTTTTTTAGGCCAGGCATTGTAAATCACTGTTTATGCTATACATTGCTCCATTGTAACATTTCTTCAGCTAGCCATACCATTCTGTCAGTCTTGCAGAGTAAACAATCAGTCAAACATGTCCTCAGTCATGTTTATGATTCACCAGCAGCATCTATTAGGAAAAATCTTTAAACAGTCTCTCAGCCAATCCAGACGTCCTGCTGACAGCCCTCAAGTCTATTGTCTTTTAGTTTCTGAAGGGCAAGCAGCTTTTTCTGTTTTCCGGAAAGCTCTCTCTGTGTCTCAGGAACATTCACTGACCCCGTGACTCCAGAGGAAAGACAGTGTGGGGATGGAACTTCCTTCCCAGAGTCCCCAGATCTCAGCCACGTGGGTACCATTTACTGCTCATCCACAATTGACCTATCTGTATGCCCCGTCCACCTTGGTAACTGTTGCTAATTTGGAGAAACAAACAGAGACTTGAGCTGTCTTAATGGCTGTGTCAGAAGCTCCTAAATGCTGGCTTAGAGGGAGCCTTACAAGTCGGGAAGCCATCAAGCCACATCCAAAAATTCTGCTTCACTTCCTGTCTTTGTAGGTACTCTTGTCTGATCCATTTTCAAAGAAAACAGATGTGCCCTTCACTGCCTTAAATATCCCACAATCCTAAAAGTCTTCTTTTGACTAATGCTTTCAACTTTTAAATTAAAGATTAAATGAAACATTTAAATTTAGCAAATAGCCAATTTAATATGGATAGTCACTAAAAGGCATAAGCCATAATGTTAGTCTAACTTAACAGAGGCAGAATCTGTGTTACTATTAAACTTGTGGTGGCATTATCAGAGTTAAAAACATTGTTGCTTCTACTTACCTCAGACAACTGTATACATTCTTGTTGATTTTTCTTGATGTTAAGTTGTCATGATTGGTTTTAGTGAATGAGCCCAACCAATGAGAGCTTACACAGTCTAATGCAAAAGTTTTGCCACCCTTGATAATTTTCATAATTGCAAGCCAAAGCCTGCTGGCCTTTCAAATCAGCAAATTAATTTGGATATATTTTATACCCTACAGAAAAAAGTGACATTTCAGTTTTGACAACATTTATTTAATCAACAGATGTAGTGCAATTTAAGTCTTAACAAAAAAAAGACAGGTGCAAAAATTTGGGCACCCCAACAGAATAATGAGTCAATCTTTTGTAAAGCCGCCTTTTGCTGAAATAACAGCCCGTTTATGGTTCTTTTAACCAAAGATAAGTCTCTGGCCATTCTTTCTAGCATAATTGGTGCCAAGCATGAACGGTTCTTTTTAAATCAATCCATAGATTTTCTATTATGTTCACGTCTGGGGACTGGGATGGGGACTGGTATTCCTTGGCAGATCTGGAACTGAGCTTTGGGTCATTGTCCTGTTGAAACATCCAACCTTGCTGTAACTTCAGCCAATTGACTTATTCCTGAACATTGCTCTTAAGAATCTGCTGATACTGTGTGAAATCAATGCGGCCTTTAACTTGTACCTGTGCTTGCCACACACCCACATTGCAGCTGTTCATGCGGCCTTCCATTTTCTTACTATATTTCTGACTGTGGAGATAGAGACTTTAAACCTTGGTGACAGCTTTTTACATCCTTCTCCTAATTCATGTTGGTGAATTATCCTAGCTTTTATGACATTAGGATGTTCTTTTGAGGTTCCCATGTTTCTACTTTCTGGTTCACAATAAGGAAAAGCACAACTAGCAATCAGCTTTCTTAAATATCCTTTTTCATGATTGGCTGCACCTGTGTTAGGATTGTTAGGGTCACTGAGCCATTCAAATCAATTTGTGTTGTAATCAATCAGCATTAAGTGACTACAGGTTTGAAATCTACACAAAGAGAGGGTGTCCAAACTTTTGCATAGCCTATTTTTCAGTTTCAATATAATTTCACACATCTTCATACCGTTACACTACCGATTTCTGTCTGAAAAACAGGACATTATTTAGCCTTCTCTAGAAACAGAATGGCATTTCATAGCGATCTTCTCTTATAAAGAAAGAGCACATTATTATGCAGCCACAGAGGTGTGCCCAAATTTGAGCATAAGACTATATATTGGATTTTACTATGTTTCTTTATGGTGCTAAAACCTAATGATGTTTCGATGTGTCTAAATCACATACTTCCCCACTAGGAACTGTACTATGTGAAAAACAAGTGAGTTGGCTCGATTCAGCATGTAGAATTTGCATTATTCTTCGGCAAATGACAGCACTCTGGTTTTTCATCAACCAAAAAAAGCGTGAGAAAAGTGTGAGGTGTCTACTACTGCTGTTGTTGCTACCGGGTGGGAGGGGATGGAGGAAAGGGAGCGGTGGTTGTCTACAAAATAAAATGGAAATGTAAAAACAGATATGCAGATATGGATCAGACATCAATGTAAGGCAACAACACAGTTGTTTTTTTGTCTGTGTTATTTTTTTGATGCCGTCTTGGTGTGTCCCAAGTTTTAAAGGTCTGAAAGTACTTTCAAATTCAATTTTAGTACCTATACATGAGTAGTATGCGATTTCAGACACAGCTTTCAAGTTTCAGTCCTTGAGCAAGTGATGGTCAACTTCCATTGGCTTATCTGATATTAAATTGCCAATGGCTTGTTTGGTACTCAACTGCCATTGGCTCATCTGATGCTCAAATTCCATTGGCTCATTTGACATTATATTGTCAGTGACTCATTTGATAGACAACTGCCATTGGCTCATTTGATACTACACTGCTATTGGGACATTTGATACTCCACTGCTATTGGGTAATTTAATACTCCACTGCCATAGGCTCATCTGATACTCAAATTTCATTTGCTCATCTAATACTCAACTCCCAATGGCTTGGCTGACACTCAGCTGTATATCAAGGGGAGGGGCTTACTGATAAGTCAATTAATTCCACTGTCATCACTGCTGTTATGAAATCATGCCTAATTCACACCCCACCCTATAGATGACAGGAGTTTACACAGAGCTCGGGAACGTGTATCCTGTGAAGAGCAGCCAGTCTCTCCAGAGTCACTCATCACCCAGGGCTGCTGGCATGGGCCTCGCTGAGAGCAATACATACACTCAGTCTTTCACACACAGCACCGCAGGTACTCTCAGCTCACTCTGACAGTCAGCATACAGAAACAGGACGTGCAGCTAATATTATAATGACAGATATCACCATAATGGCTGTGCAGGACCATTTGACACTAAATGTGCTTGCTTATTAGATCACTTAAGATTTTACTCAGGGGTTTTCAAACTGGGGAGCCACAATGGGTCATTAGGAGTAATGCTGCACAATGGCATTATATTGCATGAATTCAGGCATCCTGTATGTCTTTCAACAAGAAACTGAGTCTATAGGAGAAGAGAAAGAATATGTAAGTATCATTCAGTGTATACTGATGTGAGAAAATGAACAAACCACTTATTAGTTATTAGTTCATTAGTAAGTATATGCTCTTGAGTAAATGGTAATTTATTATTTTATAAAGTGCAGAGAATGTGAATGTTAAATAATATTTAACTAATATTTAGGCTTTTATTTGCAGAAAGTATTTGAAATATTTGTTGTTTGTATGTTTATACAGTATGTAAACTATGTATATATGCATGTTTTCCAATTATCTAAACTTGGAATATCTCTCCATAATTTTCTGCAAATAAATGCCTTTAATGAGCATCCAATATTCTGATTCTGATTCTAATTAACAGTAGTTTACCAAGTAAAACTTGAAAATTATGACTTTGTATAATGGCAAATTTGAAATGGTGATTAAATTGACAAGACTATCAGAAACAGCACATAGACTTGTAAGCAACATTAAAAAACAAGATTATTTTTACCACAGGGGGTCTTAATAAGATTAATTAAACGTTGTATGCATAATTTCTTGGCATTATGACTCCTTTCCTCTACTTTCTAAAAAACACTTGGTAATTATTAAACATAATTATATTATTTGAAAACATTAGGTTTATAAAAAGAAGACAATTTAAGCCTTCACATAAGCATAAATTCAGCTATATTTTGCATGCAGTTGTCAACAGTGTAGCGATATATATGAAAAAAAAGACATTTTAAAACCAAGCAGATTTATGCTGGACAATGCAGTAAATTTAAAAGGAGAATGCAAAACGTCTGATTCCACAGATTGCTAATAAAGTTTGACACACAAAAAAATACAAATGTGACCGCAGACAGCCTAAAAAACACTCATTTAAATATTAGTTTAGTGAAAATAAATTTGGATGCAATTATTATGCAAGAAAAATATATTAAATGTTAATTTTTTTCTTTTTAGCTTTTAATTTACTTAATTTACTAATTTACTCTTAGGTCATCCAAGATATTTATAACTGTTTTTTTTTTCTTTGGTCGAATGTTTAAAAAAAAGATTTCTAACAAACTGAAATATCATTTAATGAATTAAACACATTGCCTACTACCAGGGCTTGACATTAACTTTTTTGATCACTAGCCACTATGGCTACTAGTAGTTTTCCCATGTCTCTCGCCATTTATACTAGCCACAATTATGTTGTTGGAAGAATATATTTGCATAAATTAGACGTTGGCATGCTAAAATTACCAAATATAATTAGCCAAATATAGCTGTGTACAAATACTTTTTATTCAACAAAAAATTTTCTTTAAAAAAACAACAACTGACAATTACATTTTTTTCTTATTTATAAGAAAAACCATATTAACAAAAATGACTGCAAGCAATGAAAGCAGGTGAAAAACATTCTGTGTGCGATATTGAAAGGATGATCACTTGCACACGGTTAATGTTAGGCCCAGTAATAATCTGTTCAAAGAATGATTAAAGCAAAAGCAGCAACAGCTGCAGCATACAACAAATCTGGAGATCTGTGGGTGCACAAACTGTGGGTGCACAAACACTGCTTTTTTCCAACCTATTTCAAAGGGAAATGATGGCACCAGTTGCGTTTCCAGGCACGGTTGTTTAGCATAAGGAAACAGGAGCTTTTAAGCACTTGCCCGCATCACATCAGCTGTTCCTCGCTCACAACATCACCGTGTGCCTGATCATCCTCTCATTTGCTATTTACCTGCTTTCCTTTGCTTGTGTGAACAGTTATTAATCTTCTCGGTTCTAAGAGCACATTTGCACGCATATTGACAAACGTTCTTAAACTAAAATTCTAGTCTTTATAGACGAGGCAGCTCTGGCAGTTTAAAAATAGTTTTCAACCAGCCAAAGTGTGGCTAGTGTGGGTGTCTGTTTAAGCTGCCACAGCTAAAATCTACCTGCATTTAGCGGGCTGGCAGGTGTTAATGCCAAGCTCTGCCTGCTACTGGCTCTACACTGCTCAGTGAGCGTCGTCTTTTGGATGAGACATTAAATCGGGGTCCTGTCTCTCTGTGGTCATTACAAATCCCAGAATGTCCTTCGACAAAGAGTAGGACTTTAACCCTGGCATCCTGGCCAAATTTGCCCACTAGCCTCTGTCCATCATGGCCTCCTAACCATCCCCATATGATAATTGACTTTATCATCCTGTCTCCTCTCCACCAATCAGCTGGCGTGTGGTGTGCGGTCTGGTGCAATATGGCTGTTGTCATGTCATCCAGGTGGATGCTGCACACTGGTGGTGAATAAGGAGATTCCCCCATTGTGTAAAGCGCTTTGAGGGTCTAGAAATGTAAGGAATTATTATTATTATTATTATTATTACTATCATTTTGAGAATTAAAAAAAAAGCATTCAGGGAAAGCTAAATTAGTAACTGTGGTTACCGTAAGTACAACACTAAAATAAACGAGGGCCTTGGCAAAGAAGTTTGAAAACCCCAAAAAAGTAAATGATCAGCATGTTATAGTTCTATTGTTTTTTAAGTTAGAACCATTTAGAACATTTAATAATATATCTCATTGAATTCCTGCTATAAACCATTCTCTGGACTGAATTAATTTTTTGCAGGGAACCGTAAGTCAGGCCTCTCGCTTACATGGACTGATTCCTTTCCTGGGCCTCAGTTTGAGACTTACCAGCAGACTGTTGCTTCTCCAGACAGTGTGGACTCTAATCCCTATGTCAGTTTGGACAGCCCCCCTGCCTCTCCTCTGCCTTCTGATGAACTCAGTCCTCTGCCCCAGCGCAGAAAGCTATTCACCTTCTCACGTCCACCTCGCAGCAGAGACACAGACAAGTTTCTGGATGCCCTGAGCGAGCAGCTGGGTCACCGAGTTAATATTGTGGATGACTTCAAGGGCGGAGAGAATGACTATGAGGAGGTGTGTGCATTTTATTCCATTGTTTTCCCCCATTTGTTCTCCAAACATATGTTTTATTTTATTTTATTTTATTTTATTTTATATTATTTTATTTTATTTATTATTTTATTATTTTATTTTATTTTAGTTGAAGGCAAACTTATTAGCCGTTCTTTGAGTTTTCATTCTTTTTCAAATACCTCCTAAGTGATGTTTAACAGAGCAAGGACATATTCATATTTCTTATAATATTTTATATCTTATATACAGTACATATACTTATATAAATATGTTATAGAAAAATATTAAATACAAAATTTAATAATGAAAAAAGTATATACTGTACACAGTGCATCAGGAAAGGATTCATTGCGCTTCACTTTTTCCAGTTTTTATGTTACAGCCTTATTCCAAAATGGATTAAATTCATCATTTAATCAATCATCAAATGCCCCTGCTTTATTTAAATCCTATATGTATATATATATATATATATATATATATATATATATATATATATATATATATATATATGTATATATATATATATATATGTATATATATATATATATATATATGTATATATGTATGTATGTATGTATGTATGTATGTATGTATATATATATATATGTATATATGTATATATGTATGTATGTATGTATGTATGTATATATATATATATATATATATATATATGTATGTATGTATGTATATATATATGTATATATATATATATATATATATATATATATATATATATATATATATATATTAGCGCTGTCAAAATTAACTCGTTAACGCATGCGATTAATTTTAAATAATTAACTCGTAAAAAATTTTTTTACGCAATTAACGCAATTGCAGGTTTTTTTTACTTCCGCTTTTGGTGGACGTGTGTTCAGCATGCAATAAATGTGGATAAGACCAAGGAAGCACTTTTTAAAAGCAAGTTCCAGTATAAAACAATTAGTTGCATCACAGGTTATCCAGAGTTTCATGCAATTTCGGGTGTTTCATTTTTAACTTTCGACTTCTGTTGTAAGTTGATACCGCATGGCGAACAGAAAGAAAATCCTCCACATTTCGTGACTCGGTGTTGCTTTAATGTAAGGTTCCTTTTAAGGCTACACGGTAGACTTTTAATAAGAGTATAATCTTATTCATATTAAAATCGGAGTATTGTTGTCCGGTGAAGTTGCGAGCTGTCAAAGACAGGGCATTACTCTGCCTTTCAGCATGCGCCCCCCAAGTTTAGCGTGTTTCCTCATTAAACGCAACGAAAGCGTATGCTTCGTGTTGTTGTGTCAGAATCCTTGTGAAATACAGTAATACTTTAGGACGCTTAGTTTAAGCAAATTTGATGAACTTGATCATGCGTGTTGAATCTGAGGGGAGTCGCTCCAGTATGAAAGGCCGTTGGGGCCAAAACGTCTGCAGTGCGTTGTGTGTGTGTTTCTGTGTGCGTGTCTGTGTCAGGGGTGGAGTGAGCGACGTATCTGAGTAGGGGCGAGAGGGGTGTACAATGTATTTAACGACCGGTTTGCAAGAAATTATCATTCATTTGCAGGCATTTGGGAGTCTCTGTGCACTTGCGGGATACTCCTAGCAACTGGATGAATGTAAAGGAGGATTAAGCAAAATTGTTTCTACTCTATAATTAATGTTCTCAACTCACAGCAATAAAACTTTACAATGAGTGCAACAGTTTGTATTCATTAGTTTATTATTATAATTTTTCATTTTCCATATCTGCAATTTCTGTATTTTGGCATTTTTTACAGTCCACTTAGAACCCAACATGGAAATCAATGTTTTCTTTATTGGCATTGATTGTTTTGAAATTTAAATGTCATTAACATGCCTGTGTTTTAATTTCTTTAATAAATATGGCTGTCAAGCCAGGATCTTGATGGTTTATTGTGGGTATGTTGTTTACATGAAGAAATCTGTGTTACAAGTTAAACAAAAATTCTATTAAACAATAATATTTTGAATTTAAATATTTTTTTGTCTTGTGTTTACATTAATTTTACATTTAAATAGCCAAAATTACAAGTTTCAGTATTTTAAATGTGATTAATCGCGATAAATTTTTTTTAAAAAGGTGCGATTTATTAGTTAATTTTTTTTAATCGATTGACAGCACTAATATATATATATATATATATATATATATATATATATATATATATACACATATATTCTTTACTTTTTATACTTTTTCAACACGTTTCTAAACAAAATTTTTCATTAACTCATTTCTAATAACTGATTTATTTTATCTTTGCAATGATAAAAGTAAATAATATTTGACCAGATATTTTTCAAGACACTTCTATACAGCTTAAGTGACATTTAAAGGCTTAACTAGGTTTATTAGGTTAACTAGGCAGCTTAGGGTAATCTTTTTGATTGTCTACAGAACAAATCACAGTTATCCAGTGACTTGCCTAATTAACCTAACCCTGCACTTAAACCTGAAACCTATTAAATCTATTAAATTAAAAATGTGTTCATGAAGTCTTCTGTCTAATAAACATCACTTGGTAAATATTTGAAAAAGAAATCAAATTTCACAGGGGGGCTAATAATTTTTACTACACATGTATGTGCCATTGTGTCTGACAGATGAGTTTCCAGGATGAACAGGAAGTGAACATGCTGCCTCACGAGTTAAGCAGTGCCAGCAGTGAAGACCACAGCAGCAGTGACGACTCCACCTCAGTGTCCTACTCCTCCGGCTCTGACCACATCCCTCCTCCACCACAGAGTCCTCCACCTCCACCACCTCCCCTTCAGTTCACAGACTCACCCTCTCCCCTTCCCATCACCCCAGAGCACCTGCCCCAACCTCCCCCAGCCTTTCAGCACCATCCGATTATAGCCCCACCACCACCTCCACCTCGCCCCTTCCTTGCCAACCGCCCCTCACTACACAAGGTTCTGCCCACCAGGGAGGAGCTCAGGGCTCAACACAGCCATCCCCGACGCTCTTCACCCCAGCCGAGCAGTCAACCTATTCTCCAGTTACACCAACCGAAGGCTCATCCCATCCTACAGTCATCCCCACACACCTCCCCTCAACCCCCGCATACAAGTGCACAACACACTCGCCTCCAACACCCCAGCCAATCCATTTACCAGAGCCAGCAGACTACTGTTCCCAGAACCTCCCCCAGCTTGACCAAACAGAAAAGCCTCCATTCCCAACCTTCTCAACAAAGCTTTGAAGGCACACTGTCAAGCAAGGTTCCCCCTCCTCCACCTCCTCCTCTACCCCCACCTTGTGATCCTCCACCTTTACCCAAACCCAGTCCGAAAGCCTCTGACAACAATCACATGAGTGTGAAGAGATTGCGCTGGGAGCAGGTGGAGAACTCTGAAGGAACTATCTGGGGACAGGTTGGTGGGGTTAAATAAGACCCATAGTGTGCATAGCAACTTAGTGCTTAAGTTCTGTTCACACCAAGTCTGTTCTCTTCACAACAAGAATAATTAATAGTATAACTACAGGTGCTGTGTTGTAGTTATTGAAGGAACAATATTGTAAAATGGACTGTAAGTGTAGCTTAAATGTCTAATCTTGTGCAGTGTCATTGGTTGCATTAAGAGCCTGAAGTATACTTCAGCCATCTACAGTCCGGGATGGTCTGTTCACTGTCTTTGTGATGTACAGAAATATGTTTTATTAGAAGTGTGCATTGTTGGTCCGAGTACACAAACTGACCACTAGGTGATACTGCACCTGTTGTGAACCTATTTATTTTCAGGATCTAGATTTTACTGCACATTAAGCTTTTTTGAAAGTGAAGTAGCATGAAAAATGCAATAGTATCTGGATGCAGTCTTTATTGATGCAAGCTGAGATTGAATCACTCAGCAAAGCAATGTCATACACAATGCAGTCAAATGGAGCGAGTGACGTGGAATAATGTAAACGAACTGTCAACTCTGCTGCCCTCTCTTATACACAGTTGAGTATACTTTGAAAGCTGTATGGACTGAGTATACTAGGAGAGAGTAGAGGTTGAATGATTTTAGATTTTTTAAAGTCGACTTATTAAGGTTTAAAAAAGCTATTAAAGTCAAGTCGATGTCATCAATGAAACACAAGATGCAGATGTTTAGCAGAATGCCACTATTTGCTATTTATTATTAAACATATATATACACATGCTGTTTGACCGCTCATAACACATTGCAAAGACAATGGAACATTACCAATGACTAATTTTAGTGGAAAACAAATGCATTGTCAATACTTTCATTTCGTTAATAACATAAGCACGGGCTAATTTTGGTGCTAATTAAATGCAGTCAACACAATGATCATGGCTCGTACTACTAAGAATGAAACAATGACAGATATGTTTAGTGCAAAAATAATGCATACATTGTCAATGCGTATATTGTTTTTTCTATTAAGGGCCCTGCTAAACAGGGTAGCAAGAGACAATTAACAAATGTAATTTCTTTTTTGTTTTACAAATGTCTCATTTAACATATACAAACAAGTTAAACTGATCCTGCATGGTCCTGCATGATTCATCAAGGTTTATGGTATTACACAGATCTCCCCTAAATCGAGAGCCATTGAATTTTTAAAAAGTGCCCCCTTTTCTGAAATAACATGACCTTACCGGTTTTATATACACTTGGAATCACTGATTTAAAGCTTCATTAAACAATGCTTTAAATACTATCTCACCCCATCACATATCATGTTTTTTCAGTGTCATCCTGTGGTCTTTGCCCCAGGTTCTGCCTCTGTTCTTCCAGTGTTTGGTACCGCATCCTTCAAAACTACTATAAAGCCATTAAACAATGGTAAAATGAAACTGATGTCATACCAATGTGTGCATGGACAGTCGCTGGAAAGACATGTTCGTTCATACATTCATTCATTCATTCATTCATTCATTTTCCTTCAACTTAGTCCCTTTATTCATCAGGGGTCACCATAGCGGAATGAACTGCCAACTTATCCAGCACATGTTTTACACAGCGCATGCCCTTCCAGCTGCAACCCAGTACTGGGAAACACCCATACATATTCACACACATTAACTACAACCAATTTAGCTTATTCAATTCACTTATAGCACATGTATTTGGACTGTGGGAGGAAAGCACTCAAAGGAATCCCACATGAACACGGGGAGAACATGCAAACTCTACACAGAAATGCCAACTGAACTGCCGGGACTCGAACCAGCAACCTTCTTGCTGTGAGGTGACAGTGCTAACCACTGAGCCACCGTGTCGCCCACGGTAATAACATGTTTTAAACATAATTAGTGCCTACGCAAGAACAATAAACAGATAGTTCATAGGTTTTTGCTAAATATATATTTTAATTGCAAGTTCTGCTAGCATTTCTTTAGGATTTCATGATTTCCTCATTCATTTCAATAGTGGCTGCTGAGATAACAGACTAAGACCTTAAAGGGACTTTAAAGAGAGGTATCATTGCCGCCAAGTGGCCAAAACTAACATCTTCAGTAGGCCCTTTGAAATGATTTGGAAGAGTACAACTAAAACCCTAATTGTACTAACTGATTTACTAAACTTTCTTCTTCGTTATGATTTTAACAAGTTTAATTTATGATGCAGATGAAAAGCCACACCTAATCCCTTTATATCTCTCACTCTGGTTAGGGCAGATGATGAGCCCCTCAGATTGGAACACAGTCTGTAGATTATTTATTGTTAGTTGTTGATGTTGGTGTGAGCAGTGCTTAAGTACAGGTCATGTAGAGATCTATTACTGAGATTGAGATGTTTTTTTTCTTGTTTGTTAGCTTGGAGATGATCCGGACTATCATAAACTCAGTGACATGGTCAAGTACTTGGATCTGGATTTGTACTTTGGCACACAGAGGAATTCCAGTGAGTTCTTTTTCATTATAGCTTGTTCAGTGTGATATTGCATGTGCATATAATCATCTCTTTTCATACTGTGCTGTGATAAAAGCCTTCTAAAAGACACTTTTTACAGTTTTTCAGCATTTTTGCATTGAATACCTGCAGGTCATCAACCAGAATCAAATGAACCTATGAAATCTTATGAAGTGTCATTTTACACAAATCAAAAAACACTCAATTTTCATGTGCCTGTAGTTTATTAGGAAAGTAAATATTTATTCATTAAATCTAACATAATTGTACTTACTATTTAATATATTTGTTTAATATTACTTAATAACAATTTATGTTTTTTAAAACAGTTTTCTAAACCTCAATAATAATAACTACTTTCTATTTTAATGTGTTTCAATGTTATTAGGGTAAGTTTTCAGTTTTCAGTATCATTACTCCAGTTCTTCAGAAATCATTCTGATATGTTGATTTGATTTTTTAAAAATATTTTTTTATCTCGAATGTTCAAAATAATAGCATTTACTTAAAATATATTAATAATAATAATAATAAATTATTTATTTCATTAAAATGTACATTCATATCACATTGTACATTTTTTAGCAAAATCTTTTAGCTTTAAAACTGTATATATTATTTACGTGCATGTCATGTAAATATAATATAATATAATATAATATAATATAATATAATATAATATAATGTAATAGGAAAAAATGTGTATAAAATGTATATGGGGGCAACATTTTTAGGAAAATAATCTTATGAGTGTTATTGTTGCTGTCTTCATCCGTATGTGTCATCCATTTTGTCACTTTGCAAAATTACCTTGTCTATTTTTGTACTTTTCAGCTCATCTCTCATGGGGATCTATGTCTGTCTCAGATCCCATCATTCCCATCCAGTTATTGGCATCTCACAGCTTCTTTTCAGCCTCATAACCCTCCATTTATTGTCTCCACTTCTGGTGCGAGCAGAACTCATCCTTACACTGTTATTAAATGTGTCAGTCTCTCTTCCAGAGCCCACCTTCCTGCCCGAGAACTTAAAAAAGAAAGACGTGGTTGAGATTCTCTCCCATAAAAAGGCCTACAATGCCTGTGAGTATGCGCAGAGTTGTGTTGGAGTGTAATCATCTAGACTTAACTCTGGCTTGAGTCAGGTTTGATGTCTTGTCTTGTGACGTCGATGTGTAGGAGAAGGTTTAAGAGGTATTTGCTGCTGTAGTGACCCAAGGTTATTTTAGTAAACGAAAACTTAGAATAAAACTATTGGGTAATTAGTTTAATCATTTACTAATATTTTACAGACTAAAAACAAATCACAATAAATAGAAAACTAAATAAAACTAACATCTGAATTATAATTGTTTTTTAAAATTAATAAGACCTGCTGCTGATCTGTAGATGGACTATTGCAAACAAACAGTCAAGAGCATGGTTATATTAAAAAACAACCAGTTTAGCATAACATAAAACTATATATCTTCTATATTTTAGTTTAAAAGTAAACTAGCCATGTTTAACTACATATACGGTACAACAAGTTCTTTAATATGAAGACGATTCCTCACCATTTGTACTTATATTTGTATGGTTTTGAAATCAATGTCAAAACCAAAGAGGTTTGCACAAGTGTTAATGTAAGCTGTGCAAGCAATAAACTCTTCTGTTAACTCTGGTAAACTAGAATTACTCAAACTAATACTGAAACTACACTTACCGGCCACTTTATTAGGTACACCTTTCCAACTGCTCATTAATGCAAATATCTAATCAGCCAGTCACATGGCAGCAATTCAATGAATTTAGGCATGTAGACATGATCAAGACGATCTGCTGCAGTTCAAACCCAGCATCAAAATGGGGAAGAAAGGTGACTTTAAACGTGGCATGTTGTTGATGCCAGACAGGCTAATCTGAGTGTTGCTGATCTATTGGGATTTTCACAAACAACCATTTCTTGGGTTTACAGAGAATGGTAAAAAAAAAAAAAACAGAAAATATCCAGTAAGCGGCAGTTTTGTGGGGGCAAATGCCTTGTTGATGTCAGAGGTCAGAGGAGAAGAACCAGACTGGTTCCAGCTAATAGAAAGGCAACAGTAATGCATAAGAGCATCTCTGAATGCACAACACGTCCAACCTTGAGGCGGATGGGCTACAGCAGCAGAAGACTACACCGAGTGCCACTCCTGTCAGCTAAGAACAGGAAACTGAGGCTACAATTTGCTACAACAAGCTCACCAAACAGGCTATAACAGGCTCACCAAAATTGGACAACAAAAGATTGGAAAAATATTGCCTGGTGTGATGAGTCTCGATATCTGCTGCAACAATTTAGCATCAACAACATAAAAGCATGGATCTTTCCTGTCTTGTAACAATTGTTCAGGCTGTTAGTGGTGGTGTAATGGTCTGGAGGATATTTTCTTACCACACTTTGGGCCTATTAGTACCAATGTCAGTGCACACAGATTGGTTTCTTGAAAATAAGAATGAGTTCACTGTACTCAAATGCCCTCCAGAGTCACCAGATCTCAATCCAATAGAGCATGTTGTGCAGTTGACAAATCAATAGCAACTGTGTGATGCTATCATGTCAATATGGACCAAAATCTCTGAGGAATATTTCCAGTACCTTGTTGAATCTATGCCATGAAGGATTAAGGCAGTTCTGAAAGCTAAAGGTGGTCCAACCCAGTACTAGTAAGGTGTTTCTAATAAATTGGTCGTTGAGTGTCTGTATATATAATAAATGTGTTCACAAAATAAAAACTAAAATAAAACTAACTAAACCATTAATAAAACAAGCTAAAACTAAACTAAAATTTACAGCAAAGTTCAAATTAGTATCAAAATAAAAACTACACTAGCTTTGGTTGTGACTGTGTGGCATTTTAAGTAAAGAATTTATGTCTTATCACTTCTGGCTGGTCTGTTCAGCGATCCTCATAGCGCATCTGAAGCTGGCCCCGAAAGAGCTGCGGGACATCCTCATGACCATGAGCACTGAGCGTCTGGAGCCCGCACACATTAAACAACTGTTGCTCTACGCTCCCGATGACGAAGAGGTCAAACAGTTTCAGCATTACGACCAGGACCCTGCTAAACTCAGCGAACCCGACCAGTTCGTCCTACAGGTGCTTCTTTACTTGAGTTTAAAGCGTATTATTGTTGAGTTCTGTTAATATTTGAAATCAACTCCACAAAAGTAGTTTCATGTTGCACATTTTAGTCAGTAGCCAAATATTTAAATTTTATTTTAAGCCAGAATAATTCAAATGTTAACCCCTGTGCACTGTTCAAATTTACTATCCTTTTGTTATGTTCGGGATGAAAACATCCATTGAGTTAAAATTGCGGTAAAAATGCATCAGATAAATATATATTTTACATTTTTTTTACATAAATCGGTTAATCAACTTCAGTCCTGATTAAAACTACTAAATTGCTTAGAAAATTACAGAATTTTAAATTTCAACAAATGATGAAAAAAAAAAACTTACAAAATGACGTATTTTCAATATGAAAAGTAGTTGAGGACTGTTTTTTTTTTTTTTTTGTATTGGACATGTGAATGATTGGTAACAACATTGGCATAATTGATGAATTTGGCAATTATAGTGAAAATCCTTTAATTTTCTAAAAAAAATTAGTAGTTTTGCCCGGAGTGTATTTTTGAGTTTTATTAAAAATTCAAAGCATTTTCTCAAAATATGTGTCAAAATAAAACTTGTCACGTAAAATCATTCTGCTAGCTGAAAAAGAAAATGTTATGACCAAATTAAGACACAAAATCACCCCCATAGTGGACGAAAACATTACCAACAGCACATAAGGGTTAAGTAAAGAACAGTTTCCATGATGTTAAATGTAGCAATGCACATTTCTAAGTACTTAATTTGGACAACTTTAAATGTGTATTATTTAAACTGAACTGTCAGATTCCAGATTTCCAAATGGTTGTATTTTGGTTAAATATTGTCCCATCCTAGCAACCCATGTATACCCTGGCCTGCAGTGCCCATGTTAGACACTGCATATGGACATTGTTTTCTGCGAACTACAAATCCCATGTTCCTTTGCTTTCTTGATTTGTGTATTGATTTCAGCTGCGCTTCAATATCCTGTTTAGTTCTGTGTGTCTTTAAGTCTGTTTCATTTGTCTTTATGTTGCTTTTGTATTACGTTACCCCTGCCTTTCTGTCGTGAGTCATTTTTGTTTTGTTATTTTGTTTCTTATCCGTTCAAGTATTTTTGGAGTTGTGTTTTTTCTTAATTATGCCTTGTCTGATATCACTTGGATTACTTTGTTAAAAGTAAGCTGCACTTGAATCCTTTACCATTTTGACTCAGCCCAATCCCTGGCAGAATACATCTCTATTTAAAAAAAATGGCACGTTTGACTGTTTTTGTAGTCCAGATTCACAATGAACACTCACCTATGCAAAAAATACTCTGCCCCCAAATTCATAAACATGTTGTGTTTCACAAGCCTCTACAGTCTATTTCAGTCTGAAAATAATACTTCTATTGTGAAAATATATTCAGGCTCACTGGTGCAACTGATTTAATCTATAAACTACAATTCCCAAATGTGCCTACACTTGTAATAATGTAATGTACGATACCTAACAGTGAAGTTTTGTGGGTCTACATTGTAGTCAGCTAAGAGAGTCTTGTGTTATGATAAATTCCATCAAAATTTACTCCTAAACTTTGGAGGAAAAAAAGTTAGTGATTTATGTGCATACAGTGCACTGCTTTCTACAGTTATGTCAGAAAACTATTATTTATTGCCTGTTCTCTTAATTTTTTTTTTCATTTAAAAAGTCAGTGTAGAGTGCTGTGTTAAAACACTGTTCATCCTTGCTACCATTCTAAAGCATTTTCAAGAAGACAAGACATAAAGATATCAAGTTCTTACATTATTCTGTTGTATTACAGTTTTTTACAGACACTAAGACACATTTCTCAATACCTACAGTGGGTCACTTTCGCAAAGCTCTTCACACAGTGAGCACAACAAAAATATGTGGGCTAAACTGAGGATCAAATATCATTGTTTTGGCACAAAATGCATTCAATGACCACATCTCTCAAATTTCAAGAATTATTTTTTCACTCAGACAGAACAACTGCCAATCTGGTATGTACAGGACATTTTGCACATGCTTGCATACAGTTTTTAAAACTGTTAGACTTATGTTCAAAACAATAGCATAATGCAAAACAAAATAAGACAGCAAAATTCAACAGCAATAGTTTATTGAAACATATTTTAAAAAATCTAAAAATGCGGTTTAATCATCCAGATTAGCGTTACTATTGTATCTGTATCTGTGGATGGTGTGTATATAAATTCTTGTATTTTAAAATTACTCAATACTCAATTTTTTAAATTAAAATAAATACATAAACACATAAAATATTAATGAATTCTGCATCATATCTGATTCAACCCAGGAACATATATTGCAGTTATAAACAATATATATTGCAATTATAAACAGCGATGTGTCCTTGTTTTACACAAGAAGTGTAATGTGTAATGTGTAATGTTGTTAGTCTTTTTAGGTCATTGTTTTGTGGGTGACAAAGTGTGTTTGTCGGCTGTCAACATTTGCTAGTGTTCTGGAAGAATGAGTTTATTTAAGACCTGAATAAAGTGTTTTAGTAGTTTTGAATGTAAAATGAACTGCTTTGCCAAGCTGAAAGTCGGTTAGGAGATTTGTGTGAAGAGTTTTACAAAAGTGACCTAAGTTTTGAGAAATGTGTCCTAGCGTCTGTAAAAAAACGTAATCCACCTTTAGAGAGGACCGAAAGTCAAAACATAGAGGAAAATATGTTTTTAAATTGTATATGAGTGACTGTAGATGTAGCCTATGGCTATTATCTTGTTTCCACTGAGTGGTACGGTTGAGTACAGCACACATTTATTTCCATTTCTACTGTCAGAAGTACCAAATATACTGTAGTCAGATGTATGTACCTACATTTTTGGATCCCTTTCCTGAGGGTGCTTAGCAAAAATAGTGCAATGCTAAAAGGAAGGAACTAGATTTGCTGCTGGACGCTGTTTAGTTTGCGGAGAATTTCCAATTGCAAATTATTAATGTAATAATGTAATGTAAACATTAATGCTTTTTTTGCGCTTGCTCTACAGATGCTACTAGTTCCTGAGTATAAAACCAGACTGAGGAGTCTTCTTTTTAAGACCACTGTGCAGGAGAAAACAGAAGAAATGAGAGCTGCGTATGAATGCATATACAAAGCCTCATTAGAGCTCAAAAACAGCAAGAGGTTGGCCAAGATCCTTGAGGTAAAATTATTAATTCAGCAGATATGCAATTATTAATAATGACTCATAAATAATGTTACAAAACATTTGGACCTTCTGCAAAGTTGGTGTTTCTGAGCTGCTTGTTTTTAAACATTGGTTATCTCAATTCAAATACTGTTCTTAGCAGGGTTTGGTGTAATTAGTTACAAAGTGTTGAAATAATTAATCAATTCTATGCGTGTTCAATAAAAAAGGTCAGGAGAGGTTTTTCTTCAAGGTTTAACATATTAGCAATTTATTGGATACAAATGAATAATTCTGTTATCCTTAATGCAATGTAAAAGTTACATTCAGGAGGTGTGCACAGTTTTCATTTCCTGACTACAACTTATACAGGCAGCTGATATTAACTGGTGGAGTTTAGTGAAATTCATCACTTGTCAATCATTCTCCAGTCCTCCATTGGCTGCACCCATACATACATCCTCTTTTTCTACAAATTCTTTGCACAACGTCAAAAAGCACAAAACTACTCAACTGCAAATTCTGTGCTCACAGGACGTTTCGCTGCAGAGCTCAAGTTAATTTTAGACACTCAGGCCTTTGCATTTCCAGCAGCTTCATCTACTTCTGCAAAAATGCGTCTTTAGTATGCAAAACATCACACTCGAAGTTCAGTTAATATATCATCTTTAAGCCATACATATACAATTGTTTAATGAAATAAAAAAAAGAGACAAAAATATGTTTTAAAAATTCCTTTGTAATTCCTTTTTCATTCATTCATTCATTTTCTTGTCGGCTTAGTCCCTTTATTAATCCGGGGTCGCCACAGCAGAATGAACCGCCAACTTATCCAGCACGTTTTTTACGCAGCGGATGCCCTTCCAGTCGCAACCCATCTCTGGGAAACATCCACACACACATAAACACACTCATAGACTACGGACAATTTAGCCTACCTAATTCACCTTTACCGCATGTCTTTGGACTGTGGGGGAAACCGGAGCACCCGGAGGAAACCCACGCGATTGCAGAAAGAACATGCAAACTCCTCACAGAAACACCAACTGAGCCGAGGTTCGAACCAGCGACCTTCCTGCTGTAAGGCAACAGCACTACCTACTGCGCCACTGTTTCGCCCGTAATTTCTTTTTCCCAACAAAAATGACTACTTACTCCAATTAAATTACTTTTTGCTGCAAAGAGATTGCATTTTAATTTTTAGGTTAAACACTACGTTAAACTCTGTACATAAAGTTAGTAGTTCTGCATAGATTAATTCTGAGAAGCAGAGTAATGTATTTGTTTTATATATTTATATTGCAGAATAACTTATTTTTTCAAATAATATACATGCTTAAGAAAAATGTAATTGTCTATGCATTGATTTTCATCTGTGTGTTAAGTTACTCAAAACTGATTCTTACATTATGTATGGTTTCCAGTTTGTTTTAGCAATGGGAAATTATCTGAATAATGGTCAGCCCAAGACCAATAAAACAACAGGATTCAAAATTAACTTCCTAACAGAGGTAAGTTTTGCAGTGATTTCAGACAAAACATTACTGTGTTTTTCATTCAATGTTGTTCATGTTGTTTTATTGCTTTCTTTAATTATGAACTAAAATTCCCTACAGCTAAACACAACTAAAACAGTTGATGGAAAGTCAACTTTCCTCCATATCCTTGCCAAATCACTCTGCCAACACTTCCCAGAACTCCTCGGCTTTTCCAGGGACCTCATAACAGTGCCATTAGCTGCCAAAGGTAGAGTATTGTGCCAAAACAACTTCCTGTTAGATATTTGTATTTACTATTCAATTAAAAGATTGGGGTCAGCAAGAATTAAAAATAAAAAAGGAAAAAAAACTGCAGAAACTATGATTAGAGTTCAAATAAGTATTCTGCTTTTGTATATAATTTAAAGTGTTGTTTATTTCTAAGATGACAAAGCTAACTTTCCACAGTTACTGTTTTACTAAAGCTCACATGAACCTTCAGAAATCATTCTAGCTTAATGTTGAGCAGTATAACATTTTCGAAAGGTTAAACAAACAGCATTTAGAAAAATCATTAGTAAATTATAATGTCACTTACTGTACTGGCAAGTGTTGCAGTTCCCATGTGGGGATTCTTGTCACCAGATTTGACAACTATTTTATTGATACTTTGGACAGAAGCGTCTGCCAAACGACTAAATGTATTTTTGTGACATGGAGCTGCGCTGTAAAAAATAAATGAGCAGTTTTTCGTATTTTGTGATTCATGTTTTTGCTTTTGAATTATCGGACCTTGATCTTCTAACGACATTTAAAAGTTTGAAAAAGAGACTTTTGTTAACATTTATATATATTTATTTATATTTTTATTTTTTAGTTGATCTAAACTGATTGTTGATTCTTAGTTTAATGGTTGTTCGCTCCAAAATATATCTGCATTATTTCATTGTATAAGTCATCACATGCACAATAGTCTGTTCAATTGTCAAAATTAGTCAAGGACATAATACCATAAATATCATATATGAATCTGTGGAACATTTGATACATTTATTACAGCAACTGACAGTCTAGTCAGTACTAGAACTTGACTAACAAAGGAGGAATTTCACACATCTCAGATGACCAATCAACACTGTAGGCTGCATATAACTTTCATTTATTTTTTTGTTTGTGTGCTTATATTACAGTATATTTTGTTTTATTCTGATGTATGGAGATTACTTTGTGTGTGTGTGATTAATAATGGTTACAATCTCCTTGGCAGTATGAGTGCAATGTGTGATTTCAAACCTTGGAGGCTACTCTTGAACTAAAATCCTTTTTATACATTTTAAAAATCCTATAAATTTATTTTATTTAGTTTTATACACGATTGTACGGAACCCCGGGAAGGAAGTAGTGAAGAAGAAAAAAATTGGCTGGGTAAAAAAAAAATAATGGATGAAAGAAAAAAATAGGTGGGAGGAATATATTTCTAAGTTTTTGCGTTCTCACGCAAAGTTTTGCGTTCCCTTTGCAAAAATGTTTTGCGTTTTCTCGCAATGATGTTTTGCATTCCCTCGCAAAACTGTTTCTCCACAAACACTTCCTGTTCACTTCACTCATGTAAACCCTCCCGTTTTTGGCGAAATTCTCCCATATTTTACCATTCTATCCCACTTTCTTTACATTAAATCTGTGCGTCGATCGTCGCCTTTCATATGCAACCTCTGAACCAGTGAATGCATGTATAAGCGTTGACTGACAGACGCGCTCCGAACAATAAACTGATCCCAGATCAGCGTCTGTACACGCCATTATCATATTTTTCACAATTTGGTTTATATTTGATAATTATGTGTTCTATTTTACTAAAGTAGGTGTACAAGCATACAAAATTAATCACATAACAAAGTTCACATTTTAAACAGGCTGGCAAAATCCTTAAACAAACATTTGCAATAGCCTACTTCCTAAATGACTGCTTTGAAATAAATACTTTAAATAGGGTTATCTTTAAAAACTAAACTTTAAACTATCTTTACAAATATCTTTAAAATCCATGCTTCAAATTTCCTGTTTGGTCTTGAATTTATCAATTCTAGAAGATTAGGTTAGGTTAGACTTCTATCATGTATTTTCTAGAGACAGATACTCCGCAGCGATGGACATTTTGATAACTCTGTGTGTAGGCTATATAATTTGGTCAGAAGCTGTCTCGGTTTAGGGAAGACAGGATTGTGTGGGGGTTCAATTATGAGTCCATTCTGCATGATTCCGCCTATCACTTATCCGCCTTTACTTTCTGCACGCTAATAATGGATACTATTTGAATTTTATTTTTTTATATCTTTGACTGGACCGTTCTTACAGTAGGGTCGAAATAAGGGGAAAAAAGGGACATCTGGGCACAATTACTTGGGACAAAACAACTGTTTTATTTAAAACTGAGCTAAAGCAGCTCCAAACTAGTTTAAAAGCGTCACTGTTTTTTTTTTTTTTTTTTCATCTGTGCTTTAATTTATTGAACTTTTGTCTGTTATTTTGCAGATGCACTCTTGTACAAAATCATCCCAATCAATGCAAAATGAGGAATTCTACCCAAAACAGTTATCTCGTCGTAGGAATGAAAATTATCATATGCATTTGTTTATATGTCTTTTCCACCAAAGAAGGCTCACACTAAATCCAAAGGCAGATACTGATTAGATGAGGGCCTGGTGTGTGGACTTTGGGGGTTTTACGATGTGGTCACATGTTGATTGATCAGTTTGAATGTCTCATCATTTGGGCTTTAGTCACATGGTCAAGAAAGGTACAAAATAGCTGGGAAACTCTGCTCTGTTTCTTTTTCCTGGTCTGCTTCTCTCCTGCTCTGCTCTTCTCCTGATCTTCTCTGCCTTTTTGAGGCCTACTTATACTTTGTCTCTCTCGCCGTCTCTCTCTTTTATAGTTAACTTCAATTTTACATTTATGTTTTTATCATTTTACACAATTATTTTGTAATCAATTCAGTTGTAACCAAAGAATTACTGTCATTAAATCATCTCATTTTCAAGTATTTGTAAATTACTTTTGATTTAACATCAACACTTAATTGCCCCATATTAAAATACAATACAATGACATAATATCCACGCTCTCCCACATTTAAGCTATTAACACTGCCCTTATTTCTGTTTTTTGGTATGAGATTGCAGAAGAATGGTTTGACTAGAATGTTCAGTTTTTTACCATCATGCTGATAACTTTTTAGTCATTCGGCAGAACTACAGTCGAACCGCTGTGGTTAAAACCCATTCTTACTTCGCGAACTTAAATGCATATCGATATATAATACAGAAAAACTATGTGTGTATGTGTGTAAAATGTTCTGCATCAAAATCTAAATAAGCTGAATAGATAGGAAACAAATGAAAAAGTTTGATAAAATGTGATCCAAAATAAACTTACTGACCCCAAACTTTTGGAGAAAAATATGCTGTCAATTAATTAAAGGTTGATCAATGATTGATTTGTGTGTTTGTCTGTTCACTGTAATTGCAGTCAATCAGAGGACCATTACTGCTGATCTCAGTGACGTTCACTCCACCATCCAGGACATAAGAACCGCCTGTGTGAAAATCCCAGCTACAGCAGAGGATCGATTCGCAGCCGTCATGAGTGTATCCTTAAACCCACAGCTTCTTCAGTGTAATCAGGGTTTCTGCAGCTTTCAGCATGTTCAATTTAAGACTTTTAAAGTCATTATGAATGACATTTTAGACTCAAACAGGGCTAAACGCTAAGGAGTTTTTCAAATGACCTAGTTGGAAAAGATTTATAGTTGCCCCATCAATCCTTTTAATTTAATAGTACAATAATAATTTAATCATTTAAAATTTTTATATTTTTGTTATTTCTGAGTAAAATGTTTTACATATTGTGTCAAAACAAGCAAGCTGTAGTTGTATACATACACTTTTTCAACATAACCTTTCTTAAAAATCAAAAATAAATGTTTTAAAGACTATAATAAGTGTATGCACGACATTCTGTCCAGGTCAGCATCCTCAGCAGTAAATACATGGAGAACTTTGAAACAAATGTTACTGTAAGGAAAAGAATAAAACCATTATGGTAAATAAAGTTAAAATTTACATTCTTAAAAAAAAGTTTAAAGTTTTATAATTTATTTATTGGATGGGTGTTGGCCAGATTGACCATACATGAACAAAGGAAAATTAAGACTTGTTTAAAAAAGATTTAAGACCTACAAGACAATATTTCAGTCAATTTTAAAACGTTTAAGACCTTGCAGACACCCTTTGTAATAAAGACAAAATTGAAAGCTAATTATTCAAACAGTTAAGGTCAGCTACAATCCTATAGGGCTAGTTTACCCAAAAATTTAAGTTCTGTCATACTCATGCACCCTGCTTTTCTTTCAGTGCTCTATAGTCTTTTTTTAGATCATAAAAGGAGACTTCTCTTTTTAAAGTCTTGCTCAGGCTTGTTCATTTAATGACACTGAAAAGTGACCAGCATTATAATAGTTATCCCAACTATTATTATTAATAGTTCACCCAAAAATGACAAAATTACATGTACTCACACTCACCTTGTAGATTGTAGATTTTGAGCTGAATCTGTGATCCTAGTGATTTTGTATAATGTATGTAAAAATGAACATTCAAACAAGAACAAATCAATCTCTGTAGCTCTTAATAATATAATCAAGGCTAATGAAGCAGTCTGGCTGTGCAATTAATTAAACAATATTTGCAATCAATGTTCAAAACAAGTATAGTTCAGTACATCTCTGGCTGTTGATTTGGGCTTGTTTTAATGTTTATTTTTTAATCTAAAAATCCGGTAACCATTGACTGCCATTATATAAATAACCAAAAACCACAAATTCATAAGCATCAGTACGCTGTGTATTTTAAATAGTGTTTCTTAACAGTTATGATGTAACAAAGTCTTGTTTACTCAAATCATGTTGCAATTTGATATGCGCTCCTAATCAATGATTCGAAACAAAAGATTCATTAAGTTTTCGGAGCGCTTCAAAAGCATCCATCACTGCTATACACTGCTGTTATGTAATGGAGCACGAGCAAGATAAAGAAGAACATGCACTAGGGCTGCACAAGATATCGTTTCAGCATCAATATCACAATGTGCACATCTGCAGTAGTCACATCACAGGATCGGCAATGTTGAGTTATGATTATAGTTGACCATGAGAAACACATGAGTGTAGTTATTGCTGACTTTAACCAAAATGGAGTGAACGTTTTTCATTTGCACAATTTAGCTCAATATATTTTGTTTAATAACTTTTATTGAATTAGTTATGTCAGTAAAGAGTTTGCAGTGTTATTTTCTATTTTATTGTTTTAATTACACAGTTACACAATGTACACAGTTTATTTCTGTGAACAGTTTATTTCACTTTTATCTTAGCTTATATGATATGGATGTATTTGCTTGCAATTTGTTTACTTGCTTTTATGCATGATTCACTTCCCTACAGAATCATGCCAGCCTTTCTACAGTAATACATTCCTTCTAAATAGCAGTGTTCCAGTCATCCGGGGAAATTGTGTATGTATTACAATATTCATTGCAGAAAAAGAAAACATCGCAATGTCAGATTCTGTCCAATATCGTGCAGCCCTAGCATACACATTAGCATCATCAGGGATGCAGTAGCATCTGTTTCATTTTTGTGTGAACTACACTCTTATAAATAAAGATTCTATATTGGAATCAGTGAAGAACTTTGACATCCATAGAAACTTTACATTTCACAAACGATTATTAGAAATGTAAAAAAATTAAAGTATTTGAAGGTATGGTTCACACAAAACTGAAAATGTACTCATTATTTACTCACCCTCAAGTGGGTGCAAACCTTTCTGCGTTTCTTTATTCTCTCACACAGACACACAAAAAATATATTTTGTAGAATATTAGAAACCAGTAACAATTGACATGATCTATGGCGTATGAAAAATTTTCAAGTGAAGGGTGAGTAAATGATGAAAGAATTTTCAGGTTTGAGTGAATCTGTTTAAGCAAAGTGTGTGAACACTCACTGTATGTGCTGGAACAGCAAATCCCTTTAAGTGAAGTTTGTTTAAACTAATTTACAGAGGAGCATGTGATATGATTGACTGCAGCTGGTCCCTATCAGTAATCATTAGCTAGCCAATTAGATTATTCTAAATTTAACATACTGTAAATATCCAGCCTAAAGCTGCGGTCATATAGGACTTTTCTCCCCATTATCTTCCATTCATACACACGCGAATGCGTCAGACTGGAAACAAGCTTGTGCGACAAGTTTCACAGTTCGCTGCATTGCAAAGTTCAAGCTTGGTGCACTGTGACTTGCGAAATTGCATCATGTGACTGCATGAGACCAATCGAAGATGAAAACATGATCTCTCTACAGGGGCACGGCTAGGGGAGCAGGTTTGGAAGATTCTAAGGCCTATACATTTATAGGGCCCCCCGAGATATTATCAAGGGCCTGTACACCCCAATCAGGTTCATCCAAAATCCACCACCACAGCTGTCAATATTAATCAAGGACTAGGCTTAATAAATCGGGGGGAGCTCTCTAGAACTACCCAATCTAGGGCTCATCTATCTCCGAGCTCAGGGTTCTCTTCTGGGACAGCATGCCAAACCTTGCTAACACCATCTAGCGTTATCTAAATGTGAACTCTTGAAAAAAGATTCATTGGCACTGATGGCTCCATGACGAATGCTTTAAAAGCTGTGGAATCCTTCCATTGCACAGAAAGTTCTTTAGAGTAAAACTTGTATTGCAAAATTAATTTACATTACTACAAACCCCTGTCTGAAGCATTTATTTTTAAGACTGTATGCTGTAAAAAACATATGGAAACTGGCCTTGACCTTTCTATTAGAGCTTTCTGGAAAACTGTCATCCAGCGGTTCAATCCCTCGACTCCTTGCAGCAAAGAGCGATGGACGAGTTTCATAAAGTGGCCTCTTACTTTGGAGAGGACAGTAAGGTCACAACCACAGAGACCTTCTTCGGCATCTTCGCTGAGTTCATTTCCAAATTTGAGGTGAGTTCTTATTAAATCCTGACTTTTTTGCCACACGTGCGAGGAGGACACCTGAAGTGAGCGTTTGCTGTGTTTCTGTTCAATAGAGAGCACTGAGTGAAACACAAGGAACAGAAAACCCCAAAAGCCCACGAATCGCCTCACCGCTGGCATGGTGAAAACCCTCGACATCTGCAGAACGCCCATGTGCCAATAACAAGGAGAATCTGATAATGTGGAAGGAAACATCATTACTTTAAATATCTTAGATGAATCAACAATATCTTTAAAATAAAGAACATACTTCTATATTTTATACAATGTTTCAGGTGTTATATAAACTATATTAATATAAGATAACTATCAATGATTTAGTTTTGAGATTTCCCGCTGCTAGAGAAGGTGATCACTTTAGGTGGATTGATGGTATTTTTGATGGTTTATTTTGGTACCGAGGTGAATGAATGTCTTCATGATGAACTTACTCATCCTCAAGCCAAATGTATTGTAACACACACACACACACACACACACAATTCTTCACAGTATAAGTGTTTATTGTTGTACTCCATTATGATAGAACAAGAGTCGCCCTTCATATGGGGAGAGAAAATGATTTTCAAGCTCACTGATCAATTGTAATATTTTGCGAGACGTCATAAAATTGGTTTCGGCTATGAAATAAAGATGCTGAAGTTTGACATGATGAAAGGATGGAAGTGTAAACATATCATCTGTGTTCAGTATGTAGCTTTGTCAGATTTTTAGGTAGCTAGCTGCTGTTGTTTAAGGTTACATAATGCATTTCTTCCTGATGTCTTCTGTTCTGAACAAATGCATGATTTTCCTTATTGCCGGTCTTTGCGTCATCTGTGTGGGTTTCTTTCTCCAAGTCAACATTTCTTTAAATCAAAGATGATCTATGAGGAGAAAAGTCTACAGTTTGCATGTAGCAGAGTATTTTTATGTAACGTGTTTCTGTATATTGATTTGTTATATTGAACATGTTCTACCAAATTAATTAGTTGTAAATGAATATTTGTGTACAAATTGTTGCTGTGACTAGCCTAGTGTTTTCCTGAGCAGTTCTATATCGCCTTTAATATCATCGGGCTACATAATGAAGCGTTTTAATGAGATGTCTAATTTGTTTTGCCTGAATAAATACGCTTTCACTGACAATCATCTCTGTGTAATTATGTTCTACTTTAACTGTAATGACTATAAGCTAAAACAACAGTTTTTCTCTCATTAAGAAAGGAATGCAGCAGGAAACTTTTCACAAAGAGTAGTTGCTACACATACGCACACATTATATATATATATATATATATATATATATATATATATATATATATATATATATATATATATATATATATATATATATATATATATATATATACAGTTTTATGCAGAAGTTTGGACACCCTTAATTATTATAATTGCAAGTCATAGTCTGCTGGCCTTTCAAATCAGCAATTTCTTTTGCATATATTTTAAAACTTATGAAAAAGAAACATTTCAGTTGTGACAACATTTATTGAGTCAACAGACAGGTTGTATAATATATTTATATATGTGCAGAAACCCAGATGAATTTATCAATCAGTCACAACAGACTCGGCCATCTAACCCATCAGAGCAGGATCTTAAAAGCATGAACCTACAAATGATTTCTCTGAGACTCTTTGAGAAGTGTGAAATAAAATGTCCTTTCACAGCAGCATGAACAAATTTACATCATGACTGAATGTTTTTTTAAAGGTGAGAACTTCTGCTGTTCTCTGATTTAAAATTCAATTAGTTCAAGTATATCTCTTTTCCAGACCACACAGCAGTGTTTTTATCAGGATGGACCACTAAAGTATGGAGATCAGAATCTGGCAATGTTGTTAATAGAAGATTCCTTCATTCTAATGCAGCCATTGACTCCACTGATGGCCACTGCAGGACCTGAATAACACTAGCAAACAAGGGAAAAGCACATCCAGCAGCACTATTTTAAAGGGGTAAATCCTGCAGGCCCGGAGACCCAACTGCACGCTCAGACCTGCGCGCACAGACCTGCACTTCCAGACCAGACAGTGCCCCCTGCTGTTAGATTGGGTGAAGTGGCAGGTACGGAGACCAGCACTTTCCAGCAAGTAGCAACATCAGAAACGCCAGTAAGGTTATTGATTATTAAAGCGATTCCTGAAAATTACCAAGTTTTATGGCATAAATCAATGTGGTGTAAATTGACACTAATTTTGATAAAATCAAACACTGAAATAATTGTTTGTTAGTGTAATATAAGAGCATTATTTTATGGTATTTACAGCTTGATCTTATTTTATGTATTATTGTACCAATCTGGGACAATTTTTTAGCAATGTTTTTTGGCAAAATAAAAAAAAACTTTAAAGTAAAAATGTTAAAATAAAATGTATAATATATAGCGCAATTATTATTTGTAACATATTTTAGTGCTGTATAGGTCTACTGTACACGTATTATCTATCTGAAAGTGCTACCAAAGACAATAACAGTAACACAATAACAGTTTATCAATTATTTATAAGTTCTGTAATAATTACAAACACATTTTTTGGAAATCAAAATATCAGTTAATCTGCATAGAATTTACAATATGAGCTCTCTTAGGTGAAATCAAAAATAATTTGCTTGTGGTGTGTATTTTTTCCCAGATTGATATTACAATTTAAAAAGTGGGTCTTTGCCAACACTAATACACCAAAGACTGCAAATATTTCCAGTTTTTTTGCTCTAGAAATGAAAAATCTCCCCAATAAGAATGTAAAGCATTTATTTTATTTAATGTTACTTTCTACGTAAAAAATAATAACTACTTCAATTAATATTTTTCACCATTTTTCTATGCATTGTTTACAACTTGACTTGTAGAACCTCATGATAAAGTACACAAAAATAAAGTTTGTTGTGAGAAAATTACTCAGAGTACTATAATTTATTGTATGTGAAGAAATGTATTGTATATGAAGATAATATTCATTTCCTCAACTCAATACGAAACAGTGATAAATCCTTAATGATAAAAAACAACAACAAATGTCTGAAAATATTGAAGTAACTGAACAATATCTATTTACAAATACAATTAATAAAAATACAACAGAATTAATGCATTAAATCAAAAATCTAGTATGTTTAATATTTCATATAGCCTATAATATATTCAATCATAGCCTGGGTCCCCTGCTTACTTCATTCGCTTTATTCTGATCTGATATTAATCCAGTCGCTCAAACCATTTTCAGATTGCGGTCTGGGACACACTCCAGACGACACTGGACAGGTCTAATTAATGTTTTTTTTTTTTTGTTTTTTTTTTTAACACAAAATGAATTTAAATGAAATAAATGACGAACTGGGGATAATCTGACCTGCATGCGCCTGTTTAGAGAACACCTATAGTTGCGCTTTTACAGCCAAACACACGTGAAGTGCAAAATAAATCAAGACACATTTACTATAAGCATTAGACATGTGTTCTGACTTTCCTTCATCTGCCAAAAAAAAAAAAAAAAAAAAAAAAAAAAAGCCAACTAGTCCTTTTCAACTACACGATCTTTAGGCTAATAAGCATTTTCTCTTCATTCGTTGTTTTTACTTTTGTTTCTTTAAGTATTTTTTTTTTCGTTTTATTATTATTTAATTTCACTTAATTCGTTTTTATTTTTTAGTACACTTACACTATGATCAAATTAAAATGTTAATTTATATCAAATAGCAGCTGTTGTTTAACACAAAACCATGAATAAAAAGTATCCAGCACCAAAAGCAGTCCATAAATCAACACGTTTTAAATAGAGTTTTATATAATAAATCAAATCCACTGATAATGATCATATTTTAGCGATAATATAATGATTGTCATTACTAGTGAATTTGACTCATTTACAAGACAAGCATAAAAAAGGGAAGGACATTATTATAATTTTTACTGTTGTTTTTGTTTTATTACTCAGATGGCCAATTTCTAGTGAGGTTATTTGTGCGGTCCAGTTTGTTATTTGCCTAATAATTCATAAAACATTTTTTCTTTCTCTTGTAGACTAAAAATTTATTGACTATTTTAGCCCAACCCTTCATATTTCGTATTCAACCTTTTACATGTGAAACACAAATGTCCACTTATTATTGACTGTGACATAAAACTTTAATACATGTTTGTAAATTTATTGATAAATACATTTAATCCATGCTTGTGTACTTTGATGTAAGATAATGAATGTATCTTCACTGGTGCTGCTCGTACAGCTGCCGTTTATACTGATAGAAGTCGACAGTAATTGCTGAAGCTTTCATCGTGGTACTGTATATGTCATACATTATCTGCTATAAATTTTTATTTTCTGAAAAAAAAAAACAGCAACTGAGTTGTGGAGCTCAACAAAACTTAACCGATCAGAGCGCCATCTTGTATCAACCCGCACATCTCACCTCACCGATGATGACATAAATAGAATGCCGTTACATCATAGAAAAGAATGCAGTTCAGAATTTCCTCAGAGTGACAAACGAACTAGTACAGTGAACAGTGATTTAATGACTTTAGCGACTTGTTTTGCATCTCAAATGGCAAATAACATGTCAGCTGCATTATTTACTCGACTTAATTTGATTAAGCCTGTATTTGTCAACGATAATCATCAGAGTGACACGATGGCTTCTCCTACACCTCCTACCATGATGAGAAGCCCAACAGGTGAGATGAGAGTTTACAAAAACAGTGTGTTTCCATGTATTATTTATTAAAAAGTATAATAATAATACTAATATATCGTCATATAAGGCGACTTACAGACTTAAGAGGCAAATATTCAACCTCTCGTGTTTGTAATTGCTTTGTGCAGTTCTTATTTTGTATATTTTATGACTTTGTGATTGAGCCCTGCTGTTATTTTATGTATTTACATTCTGGCTTTTAACTTTCTCTTTTCCACTGAACAAAAATTGTGCTTTGTTAATGTTTCTGATAAAAAATAAAAATAAAAACATTTTAATAATACTTTAATTTAAATCCTATGTGTAAACTTGCACAGCAATTTTCTTATTTTTGATGGTGTGGAGGAATATTTGTATATTTTAGCAAACTAAGTGAGAATATTATATTCAAGTCTTTATTTGTTCAAGCACGGATGAATTGATAAATGTCTAGAGCTCTGTTCCTGTAACTGAAGTTCTGGAGCAAGACTTCTTTTTTCATTTGTATTTCTAAGACCGATTGTTAAATGTTTAAAGTTATAATTTACTCACAGATTTCTTAACTGAAGCTTCACAGCGAGAGAAATTGTTCTCTTTGAGTTTGACGATTGCTAATGGAAAGCTAAAAATTGTTGATTTAGTTTCATTAGTTTGTTTGTGGTGGAGAAGTGGTGCTTGAGGAAGAATGTAGATGTACTGACAAAAAAAATAAAAGGCCACATAAATTTGATTAAACATTGTGATGGTGATTGTTAAATAGCTCAAACTATAACTGGTAAAACTCAGAATATTGACTCAAAATCAGTTATTATAATAGTTTGCATTTTGTGTGAGCAGGAGTGAAATGTTTATTTTTGCTAAATAGTTGCTTACAGGATTTTTCCTGGTGTCTAATATGGACTTACCGACTATTTGTCAGTTTGTGTTTGTCATTTTACATCATATTAATGATTTGCAGTTCCACATAATTTATTTTAGTTTTCAAACATTTTCTATTATAATTGTACAATTGCTATTGTTGTTTCTTTTGTGTGATTGTCTTTATATTTCAAATTTTCAGCAGTTTGTCTATTTTAAACCTGTGGTTAAAGAGTTTTTGTAATATTTCCCTGTTCATTTTCTTTACTTTAGAAAACCCAGAGAAAGGGAGGAAAGGGAATAAAGCCTCTGCTTTCTTTAAGAGAGCATGGAAGGCTGCAAAGCGCCCTTTCCTTTGCTGTGACCGGAAAAGAGTGGTTCCCTTTGAACCACAGTCGGATATCAACGATTTCGAGCATCTGCCTGTTCCAGGTCCCTCCAGGACAGTCACAGCACATGCAGACCTTGAGCCTGTGTGGCAGCCAGGCCAGGTCTGTGAAGATCCTCAGCCGTTGAGTGTTCCGGCCCCCTCCAGCATCAAGCAAACTGCAGATGTGCCGAATGCAGATCCGGCCTGTCCTGAGTCCTCAACG